AGGGCTGTCTTGATCAACGCCATTTTCGAGAAATCCCTGGTCATCTCAGGTAGAGCAAAAGCTGGGGGAAAGGCGCTGAAAGGCGAGGACGTGCCTGAGCAAGCGAGCGACACGGCGGAAGAGAAGCCGAACCGACCGGCTCTTGCTCGCGCCCTGTCCAAGCGAATTCACCCCAAGGGCGGTGCGAAGACCACGCCCGACAAAGGAGCCGGAATTGCTGGGGACGGCACTGGCTGGAGCAACGGCAGGATCGTCAACCTGATGAGTGTCGATACCTATCGGGTTGATCAAGCGTCGGGGATGTTCCACATCCTGTGGACGTCACCGATCCAACTCGTAGTGGTACTGGTCGTGCTATGCATTAACATTGGATACAGCGCGCTAGCAGGCTTTGCTCTGCTTGTGATCACCCTGCCACTGTTGACCAAGACGATCAAATCCCTGATGAAAAGGAGAAAGAGGATCAACAAGATTACCGACCAGCGGGTTACGCTCACCCAAGAGATTTTGGGCTCCGTTCGATTCGTCAAATTCTTTGGCTGGGAAAGCAGCTTCCTTGACCGCTTGAAGGAACTTCGGAAGCGAGAGATCAGAGCCATCCAAATATTGCTCTCCATCAGGAACGCGATCAACGCGGTCGCCATGTCAATGCCCGTGTTTGCGTCCATGCTGGCCTTTATCACGTACTCGTTGACCGACCACGGTCTGGCTCCTGCGCGGATCTTTTCCTCCCTCGCCCTTTTCAACTCGCTGCGAATGCCACTCAACTTGCTTCCTTTGGTCCTTGGGCAGGTCACCGACGCCAAGACAGCCCTCGAACGGATTCAAGAATTCCTTCTCTCGGAAGAGCAGAAGGACGAAGTGGTTTGGGACGATGACATGGAACCGGCCGTCGAAGTGCACCACGCTTCATTCACATGGGAACGGACCGTGACACAGGACAAGGAGAGGACAAACACATTCCAGACCAGATTTGAGCTTATGGCAGCCAAGAAAGCCGAGAAGGAGCGCAAGAAGGCTCAAAAGAAAGCCGACAAGGCCGCGAAAAAGAACGAGAAATCGCCCAGTGCATCCAACGAGGACATCGCCAGCGAAACCACCGAAGTGGAGCCTTTCAGGTTGCACGACATTGATTTTGCCGTGGGAAGGAACGAATTGATTGCGGTTATTGGGACTGTCGGATCCGGCAAGACCTCTCTCCTGGCTGCTCTCGCGGGAGATATGCGCAAGACAGGCGGCAAGATCAAGTTGGCGTCCTCTCGCGCCTTTTGCCCGCAGTATGCGTGGATCCAAAATGCTACTCTGAAAGAGAACATCATCTTTGGAAAGCCATTCAAAAGCAAGTGGTACACAGAAGTCATCAATGCCTGTGCTTTAGAACCCGACCTCCAAATTCTCCCTGCTGGGGATCAAACCGAGATCGGCGAACGAGGAATAACGCTGTCGGGCGGTCAAAAGCAGCGGTTGAACATTGCACGAGCCATTTATTTCGATGCCGACATTGTTCTGATGGACGACCCACTCTCAGCTGTGGATGCCCATGTTGGTCGTCACATCATGGACAAGGCAATCTGCGGACTTATGAAGGACAAGTGCAGGATCTTAGCCACTCATCAGCTGCATGTTCTCAACAGGTGTGACCGGATCATTTGGATGGAGGACGGCCATATCCAAGCCATCGACACTTTCGACAATCTGATGAATAGGAGCGTTGATTTCCAGAAGTTGATGGCCACGACTGCCCAAGAAGACGAGACCGCTCTCGCCAAAGCCAAGACAACGGAAGAGGAAGAGACGAAGCCCAAGAAGAAAGACAAGAGGGGCAAGCCGGCCGCTCTGATGCAACAGGAAGAGCGTGCCGTAAAGTCAGTCAGCTGGTCCGTCTGGGGAGCGTACATCCGGGCATCGGGATCGCTGATCTTCTGGCCGTTGATTTTCATCTGCCTCGTGCTCTCGCAGGGCTCCAACATTGTAACCAGCTTGTGGCTGAGCTGGTGGACCAGCGACAAATTTGGCTTCTCGACAGGTGTATACATCGCTGCATATGCCTGCCTAGGTCTTTCTCAGGCAATCCTCTTGTTCGCGTTCTCGACCATCCTGTCGACCAGTGGCACCAATGCCAGCAGAGTTCTGCTCCAGAAAGCGATGACCCGGACCCTCCGAGCTCCCATGTCGTTCTTCGACACCACGCCTCTTGGTCGCATCACCAATCGGTTCTCGAAAGATGTAGATTCCATGGACAACAGCTTGACCGATGCTATGAGGATGTATTTCCTCACACTGGCCATGATCACATCGGTCTTCGCGCTGATCATTGCCTACTTCCACTTTTTCGCCGTGGCTCTCGGGCCACTTTTTATTCTGTTCTTGTTCGCTTCCAGTTATTACAGGTCATCGGCGCGAGAGATCAAACGACACGAGGCGGTGCTGAGGTCCACCGTCTTCGCTCGGTTTTCCGAGTCCATCTCAGGTGTTGCATCTATCCGAGCATATGGCTTGCAGGCATATTTCACGACGCGACTGCGCGACGCCATTGATCAGATGAATTCTGCATACTATCTTACCTTTGCCAACCAGCGATGGCTGTCGACACGTTTGGACGCCATTGGAAACATGCTTGTTTTTGTCACCGGCATTTTGGTGGTGACGGATCGTTTTAACGTTAATCCTAGCATAGCGGGCTTGGTTTTGTCGTATGTTCTGGCCATTGTACAGATGATCCAATTTACAGTGCGACAGCTAGCTGAGGTGGAAAATAATATGAACGCCACGGAAAGAATCCATTATTATGGTACTCAGCTGGAGGAAGAGGCACCGTTGAAGGCCAGAGAAGTGCCAGATAACTGGCCGCAAACAGGAGCCATCACGTTCAGCAAGGTGGAGATGAGATATCGGGCAGGACTACCACTGGTCCTGCAAGGTCTGGATTTCCACATCACAGGCGGCGAGCGGGTTGGCATTGTCGGTCGGACTGGCGCTGGCAAGTCATCCATCATGTCGGCGCTCTTCCGGTTGACCGAACTGTCCTCGGGCCAAATCAAGATTGACGATATTGATATCTCAACCGTCGGGTTGTATGACCTGCGGTCTCGATTGGCCATTATCCCGCAGGATCCCACCTTGTTCCGGGGTACCATTCGATCGAACCTCGATCCTTTCCACGAGCATTCCGACATGGAACTCTGGGCTGCGCTTCGAAAAGCAGATCTCGTAGGAGAAGAGATGATGGCCACTGAAAAGACCGATGGGAAGGTTGATCGGCCCGATACCGCGCAGACTGCCGCAACGTCAACATCGAACGTCAACCAGCCGCCCGGTCCGAGTCGAATACACCTCGACAGCCCCGTCGAAGAAGAAGGCCTGAACTTCTCGCTCGGACAGCGACAATTGATGGCGTTGGCGAGAGCCCTTGTCCGCAATTCCCAGATCATTGTCTGTGACGAAGCAACCTCTTCCGTCGACTTTGAGACCGATGAAAAAATTCAGCGCACGATGCGGACAGGATTCGCTGGGAAAACAGTGCTATGCATCGCCCATCGACTGAAGACCATCATCAACTACGATCGCATCTGCGTGATGGACAAGGGCAGGATAGCGGAATTGGACACCCCTATCAATCTGTTTGAGGCGGGTGGCATCTTCCGTGGTATGTGTGACAAGAGCCATATCGTAAAGGAGGATTTCTTCCGAGAGTCGTAGCAATCTCGCCGCCCTGGCACCAGTTGTCCGTCTGGTGTAGCTAGGCTCATAGGACATAGTACACGAGATGCCTTTAGATTCCAGTGCACTGAGCCGACAACGAAATGCCCTTCATCACATGAATTTTGCTTCACACTGACTCTCGTAAGGGTGGAGCTATGACGGCGACGGAGATGCGGTGGGACAGGGAAGTTGGCAAGTGAATTCCAGATGTGGGCACCGTTCAGGAACCGAAGCCACTTTCGGCCGCGCCACGAGCCGTGTCTGCGCCCATGAATGGGCGATCATTGAATCTTGGCTGCGTGTTGTTGTCTCTCGACGGCGGGGGTGTGCTTCCGGGTTCAGACCCTGGCGTCTGACAGCTCCTCCAAGTGAGTATTCCAGCGAGCTGCAGTTACTCTCAAGCGTGGCTTCAAGGATAAACCGGTACTCGTCCAAGTCATCTCGAGTGCCGGTATCTTGCATCAGCGAGCGATACAAGGAAAGGAACCCAGATCACCGCCGCAGATTTCGCGGTTAAGCGTGATTAGGCGGCAGGTACCCGAGCCTAGCGAGTGCTAGTGGGCGCACCACGGCCAACGGCGGCGGGGCCTGTCGATGCAAAGACCGGGGCTTCCCCAGTCTAATGCCCACATTCAGCCTGCAAATTCAAGGTTTGAGAGGCCAGGCCTGTTTGATTGCACCTCGGATTCAGCTCCAATGGGCTCCGGCACCACCTGGCGTGGCTGATGAATGAGCTGGATGAGTGAGCTCATCAGGGAATGAGAGTCATGGAACCCTCGAACATGGCCCGGTAGGTACTCCGTACATATGTCTTAAAGTTCTTGCCACAGGAGCACTCGTAGGAAGATCGAGCTCAAGAGCAGCTTCCGAGACATCTGCCACGCGTTACACGAACGTCAAACGTCACATTGCAAGCGCTTGCCTCAACCGCCCTTCGGAACCGCAGTCACCTACGAGGGAGCAGTGATAGACAACGTGCCTGCCTGCCCGCCCGCCTCATCTCGAGCACAGATCTTCTGTGCTTGCTTGAGACCCCGACTCAATCAAGCTCACGAGCAAGCACGACTCACTCTGAACTCTACACACATTCTCTTCTGAAGCAAGGGAATCTCTCACTCCGGCCGGGACATCCTCACCAGTTTTGACTCGTTTTGGTCAACATGGACTCTTAAAACCCTCACTTTTGCCTTTTGGCAGCGTTACTCGTGATCCTCCTGCAGAGGTTTATTGCTTCAGCGACCACATCGCTACCACCTGTAACCGTCCAGCTTTGAATCTGCACAAACAAGACGTCCACGATGACCACCACAACCGATGCTACCGAGCTCACCGAGCAAAAGCCTGCCGCAACACACGAACATCCCACGTCGGAGTTTGACCCCTGCAGCAACGCTAAATTCACGTCACCCTTCTACCTCTACAAGCACGACTCCCCTCGTCCGTCCTTCGACGTCGCCAAATCACAAGACCCCGCTCATGTGTCGGTTAATGACCTCAAGGACCTCGAAGCCGGCTCGGTCAACCTCTCTCCTTCAATCTCACAGGAGAAGAGAGATGCCCAGAATGCAGCGACGACGAGCAGACTCACGTTCTGGAAGAGACAAAAGCAGTGCATGACAAAGCCGAAACAGAGAGGCTGTGCGTGGTTCTCGAGACTTTCTCCCCGCCAGAGAATCGTGGTTAAGATCTTGATTGGGCTTCTCATCATTGGTGCAGCCGTGGCAATTGCCATCGGTGTCAGTATCAAGGTTGGTGGAGGAGTGTACAAGAGCAACAACACAACCACAGAGATTGGTTGAATATGTAGTGGTCGATTCCTTGAAGCATACAAGCATGGAGTGTGGAGTACGGCGGAAGCCCCATAGCCGCAAGTACGGTGGTGTCGCCGAGGTTCTTTAGCACATGGGTACTCGAGGCATGACGAAGGGTACATTTTTTGGTGCACAGGACATTCGGGTTAAGGTTTATTATTTGTGAATGAAGATGCTACTGCAGCTCTCCCAAGGAGCAAAGCAATGCGCATGGCCACTAGACTTGTCATCATGTCGAGTCTGAGCGCGGCAATTCCAAGAATGTTCTTGTCAGACTTTGTATCATGCCCATTCTCCAGGACGTGCTATTCAAGTGTTAAGAGGGACAAATAGTGTGCCAGTCCGTGACACGGAGGATCGAGGATTGGTAGCACCGTAGGGAGTAGAGCACGGGAAACTACGTATCGGCATGTGGGATTGGCCGTACTGTTGTAGACGATTCTACGGTGGGCCGTCTATTCCCCGGACTGCAAACTGTAATTTTTCTGGATTTCGACTTTGTCGAGCAATACCCGTACCCCATGAATAGCGATATCAACGTCCTCCCAGACAACCCGCCGTGCGACGGCGATCTTGTTCTTCCGCCAGAGAGGTCGACCCTGACCGTGAGTCAGAATGGGGCTCGCCGAACCGAGAAAGTAAGTACGGGGTACCCATTTAGATTCTCCGAGCACCAAGTCTAGATGCAGCGCAGCGCAGCGGAGGGCAATGCAAGACAAGGGCAAGGCAATGAGATGAGATGAGATGACCCAAAACTATTGCCTTACTCCCCTCGCTCCGACCATCGTCTCTTGCCCTTCCTCCCTTCCTCCCTTCCTCCCTGGCTCTCTCTCCCCCACCACTACGCTAGGTCGTCCTCTAACGCCGTCCTTTCTTGCCACAGACGCCGTAAAATCGGCCACGACCCTCGCAACCTCGCCTGGTCGGAACAGTCCGCCGGCTCGTCCTACGGTCACCGCCTCATGACGCAGCAAGGGTGGACGGAGGGCCAGGCCCTCGGGGCGCGCAACGTCGTGTCGTCGTCGACCACCACGTCCTCGGCGCGCTCGGGTCCTCGCTCCGGTCTGGCCACCGACGCGGAACGTCTCGCGGCTGCGCGGGTCGGGGTTCTGTTCAAAGACGATAATCTCGGGTTGGGGGCCACGAGACGCGCGGGGGGCGCCGCGGACGTCGAGGCGCAGAGGACGGGCTTTGATGCCTTCCAGGGCTTGTTGGGCCGGTTGAATGGCAAGGCGGTCGACGTGCATCGCGGGGAGGAGGAGGGTAAGAAGAAGAGAGAGGAGAAGAGGTTGGAGATGTTCTTCCGCGGACGGTGGGGTGGGATGGTGTTTATAAAGGGCGGTGTGTTGGTGGGGAATCAGAGGGAGACTGAAGAACCCGAAGATCTAGAAGAGAAGGAGCAGGAGGAGGAGGAGGAGGAGGAGGAGGAGGAGGAGGAGGACGTTGCACAGGATGTGCAAGAAGGCGTGGATGAGACGGAAGCACCTTCGCAAGATGAGGTTGATGGGAAGGTCTCTACGCAGAAGCAGGACCAGGACCAGGATCAGGACCCCGACCGCGACCAACGACGACGAATCAAGGCCGCGAAGCAGCAACGCAAAGAAGAAAAGCGGAGACGGAAGGAAGAGAAGGCCCAAAGAAAGGCGAGGCGAGAAGGCCGTGACGCTGCCGCCGCCGGCGCCGCAGCAACAGCAACAGCAGCGGCGTTGCCTACGCATAGGTCTCCGATATCAATATCCCATCCGCCGGACGAGCCCGTTTCATCTGCCCCGTCGGAGGATGATACTGCAATCACGACGACAGGGGAGAACAAGATCAAGATCAAGAAGAAGCGAAAACTCAAGCCCGAGCCGGTGAATGGCCTGGTCGAATCCGAGTCGTCCAGACCGAGTTCCCCGAGTGTGCTGGCCCTGAAGAACGGGCGGCATCTCCTCCGTGGGCGGAACATCCAGGCGAAGAAAATGGTGCTCGCGGACGCGAAGGGCTTGGATCAGATCTTTATGAGGTGAAAGGATGAGCGTGGTGTGTCTTTATGAGGTGAACGGTCGAGTGAGCGGGGTGTGCTATTGTGATATTGGTATTTGCTTATCATGCCATTTCGTGTCCACGACGGGAAGCGTAAAGGACCTCGTCAGTGATATGGGATAGAGTAGAATAGATTGGTCTTGATAGATTCTGTTCGATCCAGTTCTGTTCGATTTGGTATGGGAGCAGTGGTTCTGGTAGGGAGCTACATACGGGACATGCTGTGATTCGAGCTGTCGATGGCGGTGGCGCCGGACGATGCAGGCACCTTTTTTGTTCCAGTCTTCGCTGTGGGAGGGTTGAAATGTCTTCTCTGGGATCCATCTACCGACGCTCATGATGTCTCCTCCAGGATCTATCCAGCGAGGCTCACGACGTCTTTTCCGGAAACCATCCACAGTACTGATCCACTTCACTGTCTCATGCGGGCATGTCGCCCTCGAACTTCTGTTCGGCACCCGGGGCTACTGTTTTGATGGTTTCATTACCGGCAAGAAGGATGGGAACATGTGTAAGTGCGGTATGAGAACGATGAGCATCAGAACGGAGAACGTGTAAAGAAAGAGGACTCGAAGCTGACTAGCCATGATGGCCTTGATCTCCTCTGGCCGCTTTCAACCCCGTCGTCTTCCTGTCGTAAATCTTCACGGGATCACGGCTGACCACAACTTGCTTCTCACCTGATTGTTGGTTGATTTTATAGATGACTAACGATCTCCCAGTACGAGCCCGAGGAAAGGGCTCCTAGGCTGTAAATGTCGTGAAGTAGTGTTGAAGTCTTACCTCGGGGTGCACGCCCTGCTGCTGTAGGTGGCCGTAGATATTCCACTCACATGCGTTGTCGGCTGTGCTCATCGAGACTTCTTCTTCTTCTTCTTCTTCTTCTTCTTCTTCTTCTTCTTCTTCTTCTTCTTCTTTGATTGCAAATTCGAAGGCGATGGAACAGGACTTTCCTGCCGTTTGAATCACTATGTGAAGGCACACCTCGCTCGTTACCGCTCGCAGGACCCTGATCCCGCAGGAGTATCGGGTTCCGGAGTCGAATGTTCGCGCGCACGAAATCAACGTATGCACGTACATAATAACCATGCCGAGGCGGACTCGGGTACCAGACGCCAGCACAGGGAGGAGGATACTTCGAGACGGCTCTCCTAGCCGAGCAAGACGTCGCGCAACGCATGTAGGTCGGTCATCCCTGCAAAGACGGGGAAGATGAGTTCGAAAGCAGCAAGGTCTGCATTCACACTGACTTTGAGATCTTTGCACGGCTGGATGACCGTCGATTTGGACGTGTGGTGCAGAACGAGCCTGATGTGGTAGTCTTCATCGTGTCTTCGCTCGCCGTACGGTCTGTACTCGACCAGCGCAACGGGACGCGGCCATCGTAACCGTGGATCTCCGTCTCAGCCTGAGTTTGAGTCTGAGTCCAACGTTTGAGCTTAAGAATCCCAACCTTACTCTGTGGTAGCGCCTGTCTCTTTAGAGTGTATTGATCCTCCACGGGAGAGAGGACTGACACGACCAAAGCAAGTCTGGCGAACAATAAGGCAAGGTGGCGATACGGACCTAGAAAGCGTAGAGCATCGTCTCCTTACCGGTTATTGGTCGCGATAATGTGTCAATCGTCTGGCCGGAAGATCTGACGCTAGATAGCCTCGACGATGGCAGCAGGATCAATCATGGCGAGACTAGGGAAGTACATCCTGTGACATGACTATGTCATCGCGTGGCGGCGGAATATCTGCGCAAGACCTGGTCAGCACTTCTGTCTGCCGAATTTGCATACCGAAATGCAATGGCCGACCTCCTCTTCGAGCTGCATATCGTGTCCCAATCATTCTCATATTCCGTAGTCAGAGCTCACTATCCGCCCCTGTGGTCGAGATCGTCAATTTCGGGTTCGCGAGAGTGGTAACCTTTACTGGCGCGGACCAGCCCGCACCGTTGCTTGGTGCCCGACCACAGGGAAAGACCTCAGAACGGAATGCCTCCAAATGTCTTGGTGGTCCCGATCCGTGGTCAACAGGGACAATCGTGGCGCGGACTGTGCCTGCCGTGAGGCTCGCCTCGTTCGCGGGTCCGAAAGACGTGTTATTGCTCTTGATACATTTGGAGCTAGTATGAACGGCGGCATGGGATGTTCTTGTATCGAGTGCAGCAGAGAAGACGGGTGAATGTCACGCCAATTGCTGACGGCAGGACAAACGTAGATGAATTGTCATCGGAGCCCGCCCCTCTCAAGCGTTTCGTGCTCAACTTCAGCCTGTTCCGGGAGAACGAGCATTTTATTAGATGCAAGGGACTTTAACAGGCCTCCCAGCAGTCTCGGTCCAAGTCTGCCAGAGAGTGTACGAATCGCTTCAGGAGTCGAAACCTGGGCTCTTTGCTTAACATGATGTTCCGGGTGCCTGAGGCAGTTTGCGGATTGCGTCCATCTCATGAGTCAAGAACCCACATGTAGCCAGGAATGTATGGACCACATTCTTCATGACGGCTGCGCAAAGGGCGGCGTGGAATATTCAGGGCTTCGAACGGCAACGTGGATATACCGGCCTGGTGGCATATATCATAGCGAGGTCGTCCGAACAAGATTTCGGTTTGGAGGACGTGAGGAAAGATGTTGCAGTCCATAGGCGTCGCGGTCCTATGATTCTTGCTCTGCGAATGAGGGTGTGGCTTTTGCGTCAGAAAGCGACGCTGAGAGCGAAACAGCCTAATGCGGAATATTTAGTCGAGAGCGAGCTGTTCAAAGAATGCCGACTTGGGAAGTTAGCGAGGACGGAGGCCGAGGCTTGCTCTTTTACCGAATCCCGTCGCCATGCATATTCCGTGTCTCTGCAGATGTGAGGCCAACTATCTGCCAATCACCGGTGCGAGACGGCAGTAATACCTGGTGTGCCTTACCACATTGAATCCATCAGCTCCGCTCAGATCAAGTTGTCATGAGGAGGGAGGATGGCACACATGAAATATAAGCTGAGGGTTTTGCGTGAACAGTGAGCACCTAGGTGGCCATGACCAGAACTGAGTCTTGAAATCAAGCAATGGACCTGCTCTCGGTTTTTCATCCCGCCAGTGCTGCCCAGTGCGCCTTGCTGGTCGTTTCGATTGGCATCACCCTGCTGTTTTCTTTCCTCGTGCTGAACAGCAGGCAGGCAGGTCTTTCCCACATTCCAGGGCCTTTCTTAGCCCGATTTACCGATGCCTGGGCCTTGTATATTGCCTGGAGAGGCATCCATTTCCACAACAAGGTCCATGTGCAGCGTGGTCTGCAGGCACGTTACGGGGACGTTGTCAGGACGGGGCCTCGCTCGGTCACTGTTTTTGATCCAGCGGCCGTGTCGGTGATCTACGGAGTACGATCGAAGTTGGACAAGGTAAGTGGCACTGTCTAGTCACAACAACAAGTGTTGACACAAGTGGTGATACTTAGGGCAATGCCTATGTTCCATTCCGACAGGCTGGGGTGACGACCAGTCTGTTGAGCATCCCAGATGAAAAGACGCATTCGCAATACCGCAAGCTCGTGTCGAACGCCTATTCGATGACTTCGCTGAAAGGCTATGAGCCGTATGTCGATGACATGGTCAATCGGTTTGTCGAGGTTTGCGACCAGCATGCCTTTGCAGGTAAACCGATGAATTTGAGCTTATGGTGCCAGTATTGTGCGCGAACAATCCGTTGGGGAACCGATCATAGAAATGCTCTGCTGACATCTTGAAGATTGCTTTGATGTTGTCTCCAAAATCACAATGGGTATGCCGCTCGGGTCAATGAAGGGAGAAGGCCATGATGCGTATGGTCTCGTTCAGAGGGTTCGCGCATTCGGATTCTACTCCGGCTTGGTCTCGCAAATGCCATGGCTGCACAAGATCCTCCAGGACAACCCGCTCATGAGGAAGACTCGTCCATCACCGTTTATGAAAGTTGTTGGCGGAACCGTCCAAGCCCGGCTGCGAACCCCAGATCCTGAAGACCAGCCGCGACCGGACCTGCTTTCACACTTCGTCGCCACACATGCAGGCTATCCGCGTCTTATGGACGAGAAGCAAGTCCTGATCATGACCTCTGGGAACCTGATTGCCGGAGGCCTCAGCCCGTCCGCTGCTTTCGATGAATTGTGTCGTTATCTCGCAACGCATCCAGACTCTCAGGACAAGCTGTACGGTGAACTGCGGCAAGCTCAATGCCGTCTGCCAGCCTCGTATGATCACGTCAAAAACCTGCCTTATCTTGAGGGAACGATCCGGGAGGCCTATCGCCTGCACTCTTCGACGTCATTCAATCTGCAGAGAGTAACGGGTGCGGCGGGATTAGAGCTTCCTAACGGTGTGCGGATCCCACCCAACACGAACATCGGTTGTCCCGCCGGCGCGATCAATCAGGATGTGCGGGTCTATGGCGCCGATGCCGATGAGTACAATCCCGAGCGTTGGATGCAACGCGAGAACGAAACGATCGAGGCGTACCTCGAGCGAAGGAAACTCATGGAAAGGACCGACATGACTTTCGGGCAGGGATCCAGGGCTTGCATCGGAAAGAATGTCGCTTTTCTCGAGTTTTTCAAAGCTGTGGCCACTCTGATGGCTCAATTCAAGGTCCGTCAGCCAGTACTAAGCACTCCTGAGGAAGTCTTGAATTTCGCGGTGCAGGACAGACTACTGACCATGACTCGAACAGTTTGAACGTGTTGGAGAAGTGAAGAGAGGTGAAGTAGTGGTTAACGTCGTGCGTAGGGAGAAGGCGTAATGTGCATGAAGGTGGTGATTCGTCCATACTATGTACCATTGCGTGCATTGGGCAGAGCAGTCGCTCGCGTTTATGTTCGCCGGATAAGAAACCGAATGAGTCCCAGCACGAGACAATCGAACATGATTTCACTGTTATAATGGCTGGCGACTCGATCTTGTCAGGTGCCGTAACAACGCCACAGTCAGTCGTGAGGAAGGTATGCAGCTTGAGATGGCGGACGATTTCCAAGCCCTGCTGACGAAGGTCGTAGCTGATGAAGATTGAGGCAAGGAAATCAGCAACGTAAACCATTTCTTCTGTTGTCCGAATGTTGATAACAGCCTCAAGGATGAGAGACTTCAGCTCCTTGGTGATAAGATCAGTCTTCTGCTGCCTGTGGTAGATGGCGATCAGCTGTTGAAGCTGCTTGAGGGTCTTCGTCTGCGTATATTCATGCTGCTTGCGGGAGCTGAGATACTCTTGAAACAACAGAGATTCGGCCTTTTCGACCGTTTCCTTGGTCAAGGTGGTCGAAGTCTTCGTTGACGTGATCTGCTTGATATAGAGCTCCTTCACCATGCTTCTCGATCGTTCAACGATTTGGACAGACGCAATCTCAGATTGCTGAGACACAGACTCGAAATATCGGATAGATTCGAACCTGAAAATGACACCAATTAGCTAGTGCGGATAAGGGGCGCGGCATTGCATGTCAGAAGAAGCAACAACTCACCAATATTCCTGGCTCTTAGCGCATGCCTCGGCCAATGCCTTTGTCGTGGTGACTGAGACGACACTCTTCTCTCCGAAATACTTGAAGCACGCTTCGCGCAGCTCTTTCAAAATTCTGACATGCTGATCCACGTCGAGTTTTGTTTCTTCCATTGCAATGAAATATTTCTCCAACAAGCCCTGAACGACAGCAGCGTCGGCGAAATACTCGTACTGAGGTCCGAACTTGATGACTAGCTCAGCGTTAGCGACAACAGACAGTACCAGGGACAGAACAGAGTGGCGGGGTGCTGACACTCGCGATCACTACTTGAAATGACTTACATGTCGTCGCGATCGACTTGAAATGGACCAAGGCCTCTGTAAGCCGTCGACTCTCATAGTAATGCTCAGCAACGATGACCAGAGCGCGGAGAGCATCTTTCTGGCTGACCAACTCGCCTTTGTTGACAACATTGACGATCTCGAGGTAGTATTCCACCCAATACCTGTGAACCAGATGATGAGTCCGGCAAGTATCGGCAAGTGCGTAGAGCAGCGTCGTGGTTTTCTTGTCGCTTCTGCCGTAAACGTTGCGATAGTCAATCAGTAGTTCTTGGTAGAAGCCGATGACGCGGTCGTGAAGTCCCTGGCGCTTCAAAAATGCAAGGTACAGGTCGGAGTATTTGGCCACAGCAGGATTGTCAAAGCTGAGTGCCTTGTGATGAGCTCGGTAGAGCCTGAAGTAGATCTGCTCCGCTTGATCCAGGACCTGGTTGAACTCGTAGCATTCGGACAAGCGCAAGGCAAGCAGAACACATTCTGTCGAGAACTTGGTGGGCAGCGTAATGCTCTCAACGGAGTCGTCGAACAAGGCGGGCCAGCCTTTCTTCAATGTGCTTTCCAGCACTGTGATAGCCTGGGCGTACCGTGACTGCTCCAGATAGATGGCAGTGAGGGATTTCGCCTGGGAAACAGTTAGCACCCGGAACGGCGAAATTCAATCCGTGTCGGTCTGGGTGAACCTACCAACTCGAAAGTGGAATGAGTAATCTCCGTGGAGCGTGTAATGGTATGTTCAAAGGCCTATGTTTGTGGTTAGCAACGGACTTACAGTGCTGCGGTAGCGAGGAATCAGGGAGACACCCGAAAGGACTCCCTGGTCCATGACGAGCTTTCACAGCCACTCACCTCCCGTATTGTGATTTCCGTGGACTCGCTGACAGTGGTAGTCGAGGATTTGATGATCTCCATGGAAGTAGAAGTGATCTGCTCCTCGATTTCTGTAACAATGCTGGTTTCGCTCACGTTCTTGTAATAGGAGAAACACTTTTGGTAGACGGACAGAGCAACCGTGTGGAGCTTGACGGTCTTCATGATGAGAGCGATCTCCTTCAGCAGTCGGACGACAGACTCATACATCGAGAATTCGCTGTGCTCAAACTCCTTCCAGGCGAACAGCAGGACAGAAGACGCCTCATCAATCCGCTTTCTGGAGTGAAGGAAGCGGGAGTACGCCAACATGAGCTCGAGCTTCTTCTGATGCCATTCCAGAGTTCTGACACTGGAGCAATGCTCGGTCAACCTAGTATAATGTCAGCCGCATGCAGTGGGATCGGCGCACTCGTCAGACAGCGCAAAGTGTCAAGGAGACTTACTTCCACCACAACTCGATATAGAGTTCTTCGGCCTTCTCAAATTCCTCTCGCTGGATCAGATCCGTTGCACGAGCCAAGAGACTCTCGACAAGGGCCAGGTTGAAGGTTTCGGAGGTTTCTTCCTGATAACCGGCAAACAAGGAACCTTGAAAGGTATCGATAGGTTCTCTCTCCTTGTGCTTGAGAAGCGTTACATCCAAGCTGCGAGAGACTTTGTCGCCGTTCTCTTGAGGCAGAGCCTGATCATCGACTTCAACAGATTTCGTCTTCTCCTTGAATTCCGCTATCTTTTCTGTCTCGCCAATGAATTCATAGAGCTCGCGCAATTGCTTGTAGACTGCGTGTACCTCTCTTGACGAGGCACCGTAGCGGTACGTATACGCCGAGACGAGCAGCCGCAAGGTCTCCTCGCGGTAGGTTGTGACCTGGGAGCGTTTCTTGGTCACCAAACTCTCTGTCACACGAAGTAGGCAAAGGCAGAGCTGTACAAGGAGGTCGTGATGGGATCCCAGGCTCTTTGCCGCCGTCCGAATTGATGTGATATACCAGGATGCGGCATCATGGAATCGGAACAACGTAGTCTCGTACAATTTCGCCACCACAATTGTTGTTTGCAGGACTGATGGGTGGTCCTCGCCAAACAGAGTCCTTCGGACGCGGTATGCAAGGGCATGAAACTCCACAGCTTCGCTGGGAGACGTTTCTGCCCCCCAGGCCGCTTCTTCGAGCAGAGCAAGAGTGACGGTATTCGGCAGAATGCTGCCAAACTCTTTCGGAACCTCCACATCACCACTACTCTTCAAAAGTGAAGACTGCTTGAAGTGCACAATCCAGTATCGAACTGTATACTCCAAGAGCTGCCGTCCGTGCGAAGGGCGATGGACTCTGTTCAGGTCCAAATAATTCAGCGTTGGCTCCTGATCTTCACGGAGAGAAGACTTTGCATGGATCAAAATGCGGGCCAGCAAATCCTTGTGCCGCTCCCTGAACAACGACAAGTCTTTGGACTTCTCGGAGGCTGAGATCAAAGCTGCCTTGATTGCGGGATGTCTGATGGCTAACAGGCCTTCGCCCTTCACGCTGAAGGGCGAAATTGACTTGAGGAGGTCGGTTATGTTCACGCTCTTGCCGTCCATTTCGAGACGGCTGGGCTGGGCTTGGAGCAAAAGCTCAACCTCGGAGAGCAGCAATGGTCTCTCCGCAGCCAGAAGAAGGGAGAGCAAGCTCTTGCCCTGTGCGGTGATATTCATAACCGGCACCAACCGCTCGACCACGTCCGGGATTGTTTTGTGGCTGGCAATAAGAGTTTGCACACCTTCATCCAGGGTAGCATGAATCTTCTGATACATAATGTATTGAGTGGCGAGCCAAGCCCAAAGGATAGAGCCGTCAGCAGCTGCCGCCAATTTGTCCACGGTAGCCTCCTGGGAAAACTCGTCCTTGTCGGCAAAGCCGCTGTGTGCGACCAGCTCTTGACGAATTATTGTCCGGATGTCGTCAAGTACAACATCTGCCGAGAGGTTGATATGTTCCGACTTCTTATGAGGTGTGTCAAGCGGCTGGGAGAAGCGGATCAATCTCAATGCAGGGACCTTGACAGCCAGGTCGTGGAGTCTGTTGGCGACACTCTGAGCATGTTGTTTCTGGCCAATGATTTGATCCAGGCCGTCGACAACAAGGACCAAGGTATTGTTCTCGTCCTCGCTAATAGCTAACAAGATTCTCTCAAGGGCAGACCAGAGGATCTCCTCATTGAGGTGCTGAGGGTTGGACTCTTTGAATTCCTGGTACGCATCGGTTAAGGCTTTGTAAAGATGAATATCTCCAATTCGCTGAGACAGGGCTTGCCACAAGATCGTCTTCAGCAATGCAAAGGAGGTTGCCTGAGCGGGAACATTGCTGTTGAAGAAGAAGCTCAGAGGGAAAACGAGTTTGCGGCCGATGGGTCGCTGAAGTCGATCCACGGTCCAGTTTGCCAAGGTCGTCTTGCCTGCGCCCGACTTGCCCTCGACGACAAGAGAGCTTTCACCATTGCGGATGAAATTCGTGAGGTAAGTCTGGAACCATGTGCAAGTGAATTGCTCTGGTCGGCTGGCAATGTTGATGTTGTTGCTGGCGAGAAAGGCAAGAACTGTGTCCTGTGGGGCAAGCCATCCCTGGAGGGCTTCAAGGACATGTGTCTCTTTCAAGCCACTGGAAGTTAAGCTGAAGCTCCACATGTCCTGAGACGTCTGGGAGACTCTGGCACGAAACACGTCGATGGAGGAGCCGAAAGTGGAAAAGATGTCGAGGCTGGTCGAACTTTTCGTTCCATGGACAATCTGCCAGAAAGTAATCGCCACGCCAGTCACAATGGACAAGAGCTCGGAGAACGCCTTGGAGAGGTTGTCTGCGATTGGTCTGGAAGCTGTGATGATATCGACTCGTTTTAGAAGCGGCGACAACTCGAGGCCGAACTGGTAGAAGAGGTTGAAGACGGTTTCCAGGGCAGGCGCGTTTTCGCTGCCAAGCTACTTGATTGTCAACATACGTTTGTTGCTGAAGAGAGAAAGCCACAGCCACGGAGAACAGTCCGCGGTCTAGGAAAACGGGAACAACATACCTCCAACAGTAAGAGACATTGTCCGAAGACAAGGTTCGTAGCCGCGTTGATCTCAGATTCAAATGTTGAGATTGCGGTGTTGAACCTGTGAACCTGTTCTGCGAAGTGCTGGGCGGCGATAAGAACTCGATCCCAAGAGCCGCCCTTGTGCGGGAGCCTGATCAATCTTTCGTCCCGAATCCAGTCCAGGAGCCCAGCGATAGAGGTATCGAACGCGTACCCGCTGAAATTAGAGCCGAGAACACGGTAGGCATGGCTGCGAGAAGTCGCCAGCTGCTCCTTCACTTGCTCGAGGCCGCCGAATGAGGTAGGCCCATCGGTGCCGGAGCGTGGTCGCTGCCCAAAGAGGGCCGATAATGGCTTCACGGAACCAACAGAAACTTCAGGCACATCCGGAGGGGCGATCGCAGAGTGACTGCCACCATTGACTCCGTTCGAGACGGAAGACGAGGATGTGTACTCGAAGCCGTTTGCAGAAGAGCTGCTAAATTTCCGGAACGAAGACGACGACATGGTGAATTGCTTCTCGGGCTTGACAGCCGATGAATCTTGCCCTACATGAATCGCCATGGGTTAGCGCTCCAAGTGTCAAGATGGGAGGGAAGAGTCTTATACCAAAGGAATGTCTCAGCAACCCGAGCATGGTGACGATTCAGCAAAGTCAAAACCGCCGGGATTACAGCTACTTCCACTGTCTCAGACACAAGAGTCCGATTGCGGGGATCCGGCTCCGTCTGTGAACAGAGCTATATACTCAAATGGCGAGCTGCCCCCCTTACCCTGGAAATGATGCAGGTTAACTCGCTTATCCAGGTTCTATGCTCCCATGTGGAGCCCCCCAGCTCCAGCAGGAGGGAGGCTAAGTTGTGCCAATGGACGTCATGCATTCTCCTGTCTGCCAACTCTTCAGCTCTCTTGTGGAGCTGGATAAGGGTAGTCGAACATAAACCCAGGTAATGGTGGTTGGCGGCGAGCATCAACAGGTCGAAGAGGATACCACCACGACAGAATGAGGACGAGATTTGCTGCTGAGACGCAAGCCACCTACCTCACCGGCACCGCCGGTCGAACAGAGGTCCACAAGGTCGAAGAGAATCAGTAAAGAGCCAGACCATTGACATGCATCCATACTGCCAGCTGCATCGAGGTACGTAAGTCGGAGGGTGTGGAGGAATATGCCAGTCGCTTGCTGGGGTCATGAAGTCCCTGCAGAAGATATCAGCCGGAGTCGCTAATGGACACAACACTGTACATGTGGGCTCCGTCCGCACGCACACAGCCCGTGACTTGCTTGTCACTCGTCCATTGTTGAGCAGCTGGGTTGCGAATAGATTTGCGACCCGTCACGTATGCCATTCCCTGAGCTGATGGACGATTTTGGAAACGGCTCGCGCTCCAAGATGCTCGTTTGACTGTTAGTCGTCAACCCCAGATGGAGACATGGCTGTTCATTCAGGCTGTGGAGCGATGCGAGGACGACATATCGAGCAACGTCGACTACTTTCACTACTGCACAATTTTAGTCAAAGTGGGATCGATACGAAGATTCCCCTCACCTGAGTGCGAAGTCAGGCACACCTATTGTGTTTGCCCACTGCATGTGCTGTTTGACTGGCTCACAGAGTCATCTTGTCGCCAACCGACCGTCCTTGGATCGGTGGAAGGTTCAGATGAGAGTCGCAGATCATAGTGGAAGATGCACAATGAGGTACGCATCGCCGGAAATGTAATGAGCAGTCGTGTTGGTAGACGGTCAAGGACGGTGTTGGTAAAGTTTCCTTCGGAGCGCGAAGGTTCGGCTAGTGCTGCCGGGCTTCCGGAGACAGCTAGGTTGACAGCCCCCGCGTAGAAGGTTTAGCCTAAGGGCCTACCACACAGGGAGGGCCTGGGGTGCCTACCCAGGTGTGCCCAGTCAGGTCTCCGGGGGCCCCCTGGCAGCACCCGCATTGGCTGAACGGCTGTGCCCGGCATGAGCCCTTAGGGCGACGGTCATGCCGATTCCATCCTCTCCCCGCGTCCACAAGGGTTGCGCCATCCTGCATCTGGCACTGCCAGCTGTCCGGCCTCGTCGTTTCTGGAATGGTCGTTGCGCAGTCACTACGTAAAGCCCGGCACGCCATACCCTTGTTGATCTCGTCTGCGAGAGAGATCGCGCTTTGGATAAGCGAGACCAGTTCCGATTGGTAACCTGCTCATCACGTCCTCGAGGGGGGTCCCCGAGCTGCTTTCGGCGCAGCCACCACGACCTTCAGCTTTTGACAGGAATCGCTCAGCACGTCGATAGCCACGGGCTAGGCGTGGTCCAGAACCGCTCTACCGTCGAGGCCCTTGCAAACGGGCTTTGGTGTCACCTTCAGCGGCTTGGGACCTTCGCATGTGGGTTGGCATCGCAGGAGGCAGTCGTCTTCAAAAGTACAAGACCAGCATGTGCTATTCTGGATCAGCCATGTCCACCGTCGAAAGCGGAAAGAGCAATGATCCCCGAATAGGCTGCGATGTGGTGATCGAGAGCTCTGTTGACTCAACTCCGTCTTTGTTCGGACTTCGATGGATTCTTGAGCCATACGCATGCTGCACAGTGCCCCGCTACTCCGTACACCTGCCTAAGTGGTCTACCCTGCATTGTCCGTCTCGACATCTCAACGATGTCTGCGTGAGGTCAAGAACAACTCACTTTAGACCGACTCATTCGCTGATCCGCACTCACAGGCATGCGGCCCGCCTGCTCACGACACCGGACCCCCCAGAGCTCAGACCCATCATATCATCTAACAGGGTACGTAACTCAGTATGCTTCCGGCCGTGGAGCGTATGCCATGCCTCCCACGAAAGCAATGTTCTTCAAAGCTGTCGCGATAGGACGGTCATATACTAGCTCAAAATCACGCAGTCCAGCTCCACCACTCTCATGAGCCCACAAAGTCAAGGCCAACCAATTGGTCCCCTTGTAATTCAGAATCCCCTGCGGCACGGGATAGCGTGTCTGAGGCCCGATGTGATTGACATACTTGCCGAACTGAAAGCCATTGACGAATAGCTGGGCCCTATACGGCACGGGAGGCTTGGTGTCGTTTCCAAAGACGAATGACATGGGGACGTCCCAGCCAGTGGGAATGTTGAGGTCAAAGGATGTGCTGAAGAACCCCACACCGGGCTCTGTGACGCCGTCCATGGGAGAGCGATTTTCCCATGACTGGCTCGGCGGGGAAGGGAGATGCCACCCTTGTCGTTCAGCATACATGGCTCCTTCGTTCAATGGGCCTCTACTTCGATCAGGGTAGTCCTCGCCGCCAAGGTTGCCTGTCAGTTTCCATGTAACAGCGGATTTATCATACCCAGCGAGTGCATAGTCGAGGATCCCGCGTGGTGTCTTCATTTTGTCGGTCCCAACGACCCCAGACTCCTCCATACCCATATGGTCGATAAGGACTGTTATGTTGTGATTGGCGCCCAGCCGGAGACCAGACAAAGTATAGGTCGCATTGGTGTTGTTCTGAGTGTTGACCCCTGCATAGGAGCCCACAAAACTATGATCAAGCCAGATAGAGTGGCCGAAAGCCCAACCACCTTGAGTGTTGATCGAGAGATTGGCAGTCGTGTCCTTGGCGGTGAAGTGTCCACGATAGATGAGAGAGCCGGTATGATAGCCGTAGTCCGAAGCATAGAGGGACGTGGGAGTTGTTAGGTTCCTGACCGTGTTGTTGCTGTACGCGAGATTGGCAGGTGCCCAGCTAGAATCGTCGTAGCTAGGCTGGATCTCTGGGAGACTGTCGGCGAACTTCCAATCCAAGCTCTCAAGAGCGGGGATAGTAAATGTCGGCACCTGGTAATTGATACACGTCGACCAGTCTCCTCGCGCGTTCATGCGGTACTGAACGGACTCGCCATTGATATACAGAGCTTTGGAAGACTCGGGGACCCCGATGACCTCAATGGCTGTAGTGCCGTTCACATCAACAGTCAGGTGAAGCTCGCTGCTTTGTAGATATACTTGTCTAACCAGGTAGCCGGCCTTGACGATGATGGAGGCGTTGATTGACTCGGTCGTTGTAAAGGGGCTGCTGGCTCCGCTGCCGGATACTTCAGGCACCCAGTAGTCGTAAGCGGAGGATTTATCTGCATGATCCCGTCAACTTTCAGGACGGATTCAGCAGACAGACACTCATAGTTACCTAACAAATAGATTTGGCACTGCCCAACTTGCACAACGCGCCGAATCGGGGAAGTGTCCCATGTGATAATGGCGGTAGATCCGGTCTGGTTTGTCGTGATAGTTGACGGCTCGCCTTCGATGACTGAAGGTGCTGATAACGTTGTTACAGCAAGCTCATGGCGCTCCCCTTCATCTCCGTACACTATGAGAACGGTACGGTTGCCGAAGATCTTCCAGGTGAATATTTCCGCAGTGGTGTACAACAAATTTGTACCACCAAGATCATAGTCGGCAGCATGTACCTTGGAATCTCGACCACCGAGAGTCAATGAGCCACCAAGCTGAGGAATGGTCAAGTTCCCGATACTCGTCGGCAACAACAATCTGTAGGATGTTGAGCTTAGACTGGAGTAGTTGTAGTCCCTGACGATGTAGAAGGTGGTTGCGCTCCCGTTGCTCGCGAGAGACGTCACTTTGAGATCAGACGTATCGGTGAACACCGACGTCGTATTGATTTCCTGCGGAGTTGCAGCCAAATAGGCCGGGGATGCCTTCACAAAGTTGGCCAACAGCTTTATCTCGGAGTATTTCTGCCTGTCAACTTGTCTGTTCTCCGATATCGCAGCTGCATAGTCGTAAGACGTGTAACCTCCGGGGTGGCCGAGACCGCCCCAGTTCGTTCCACCGAATATCATGTACAGATTGAAGATCTTCACCGCCGATGCAAGAACGTTCTTGTAAAAGACCCGAACAAACTCGTAGTTGACCAGAATCTCGCACTTGGCGAACCCTGGCCCTCCCCAGGGATCGAAGGAGCCTCCCTGGAATTCATTGATGCTGTAAGGAGTCGAAGGACTGTTGTTAAGATGTGTTTGCCAGTAGGTCGTAGGAAGGGCTGCATCAGGCCACACCGTCGGATGCGAGCAGTCGAACCCGAGAGGGTAGTTATCGTGCCCGTAAATATCCACCTGCCCAACACCAGTGCCTGGAGCATTGTGTCCAGAAGCACTCGCGTCATTGCTGATCATGGGCACCACCACACCAGCAGAATGAGCTTGGTCTATCACGTCCTGCATGTATTGTCCGTTTGGAAACTCGACCCCACAGCAAGCACCAGTGTACTCGTTCTCCGGTTGATACAGGATGACTGGCCCGCCATTTGTGATCTGGGCCGTCGCAATGGAGCTGGCAACGTTCCGAATGTAACTGCGCAACATTGTCAGTCTTGGTTCTGTCTGGGATAGAATGACCTACTTCTGTGTGGCTGCAATGTAATCTGAATCAGTCGTCCTCAGTCTGCCACGCAGCCTCGCAAGCCAGCCTGGAAATCCGCCACCTGATGCCTCTGCGTTGATGTAGGGACCAGGCCTGGCGATGAGATAGACCCCCGCCGCAGTGGCAGCATCGTAGAATGGTTCGAGTGCGAGGACGCCCTCGGCCGAGAAATTGCCTGGCTTGCCCTCCAGCAGGGCCCAATCGAGATAGTACGAAACACAATTGAACCCGAGAGCTTTCACTTTCTGGAAAATGTCCACCCACAAGGCCGGTACCGGGAGGCTGAAAGAGCCAGGAATTAGTTGTCCTCATTCTGTGGCTGCTCCAAAAGGGGCTCTGGAGAAGTTGGTAGCGTACCGAAAAGGATGAAATTCACCACTGAATATCATGACCCTCTCCCCCCGGATGAACAAGGACGTGCCATCCCATGTCACCTATGCGATGTCAACACTGAAACTTGAGGCTTGGCTCGGGACACGTACGATATCCTGCAAAAGCTGCCGCTTCTCAGGATTCGGGTGCTCGATAATCCTTAGCCGACCAACATCCTGAATTGGGACCGCAAGGGCTGCAGCCTGGGCAGCCCACCAGATCAGAGTCCAGACAGTTGTAACCCTCATAACCGCCGGAAGATGTAGCGCATATGCGTAACTTGCTCCTATCGAGGTGCCCAACGAGGGGTTCTAATGGATCCTTCCCACCGTCTCATCCTATATATGCTGCGCTCCTGATCTCCCCATCACCATCATGTGTGACCGCGTCTCGGGACATCTTCATCGCCGCAGAATGCGGGGGAAGCTTCGTCTGCAACGTTGTGTCCACTCTGCCTGTATACCTGCAGTATTGGGAAAGGTCGCGAAGATCGAGCTAAGCTTCAGCTGTGAGGCAGATCACCCGAGAAGCATGCTCGAGGGCTGAGAACCTCGCTTGAAAGGTCGGGAGAAACGGAGACCGATATGATGACGACTTTGTCTGCGGAGAAGCGTAGATCTCCTGAGGTAGAGCTTCGGTGTAATGTACAACGAACACAACCAAAGAGGAAAATGGCCGGCGGCTGCAGGGGTGAGTGCAGAAGAGTCGTGTCAACGTCGGCCACTGCGCATTCCAGCGATTGTAATGTATCGCCTGTGCCGAAGGGGTAGCACAGCGTAAATAATCATAGGCCATAGGCATTTCTGTGCTGTAGCTGGGTGCGTTCCGGCAGCGCGCCTTGTCAGACACCACAAAGAAAGTCAAGATACCCCCAAATAACCCTGTACTTAATTGGGTATTCTGAGTACGGGATACTTGTGATTCCCCAGCGGAAGATCGATGCTCGTGAAAGGGGAGCCATGAAAGGAAAGGATATAAATGATAGCAGGAGTGCTATGGAGAAGAGGAACAATCACACGGGGCAGAGCGTCCCGCTTGTTGGCACACGTCTCAAACAACTGGCATGGCTGCTCCCCCACCAATTTAGGAATAGCACAATTCGATAGTCGTTGGGCTCGTACTACCCCAGATTCCACTGTCCGTTGGCATGCCGAGTAGATTTGTGAGCGGACCAGTCCTGGACATCAAGATCGCCGTCTCCGTGGTCGCATCAGCAGCAGCAGTGGACCCTCAGATCAAACGGACCCAATATTCGGGACAGGCAAAGCGACCAACTGATGTCTAGAAGACAGTGCCCCTGACCTGCTCAATCCTAGCAACATTGATATTCTTGATCACGAACATCCACAGCAGTGACAGGCCCATGATCCCTGTCCCGGCGGCCAGCATCCTTGTCTGCGCATATCCATAAGCCTCCTGAATGCCTCGTCTTTCGGGGCTGCCGACCGCATAACTGAGCTGCACATCCAAGCTGTTATATATATCTTCCAGCTCGGTCAGACTGACATTCGGCACGTGCCTCTCCAGAGCCTTGTAGAACGTATTGGTCCATATCGTGCCGGAGACGGTATTGCCTATAGCACCGCCGACGTTGCCGACCACATACAAGAGGGCAAGCACCGCCGCAACATGTTGATGGTCTGATGCTGCTAGGACGGCAACCTGTTGGACAATGATAAATATAGATCCTCCAATGCTGATGAGAATCTGGCACATGACCAGGTATCCGACACTCTGATTTGGACGACGGAAGTAGATCATCAGGCCCTGGGAAAGGATATACAGCGGCACAGCCACGAAGAGCAACCATTTGAAGTACCCTGTCTTGCGGATCAGGACGCCAACAGACAGCAGGACGAAACCAGAGACGACGTCAAACGTGCTGGCCACATAGCCGGCTTTGGCTAGCGAGAGGTTGTTAACCACCTGCAAGAAAGACGTGAAGTAGCTGGCCCAGCAGTAATAGGAGATTTGGTACGTTACGTCGAGAAGACACGCGCCGACGACGGTTCGGTTCGCTAACAGGTTGACGTTCAGGAATGGCGCTTTTGCAAGGTATGTTTCGTAGAGGCCGAAAAGGACCAGAGTAATGAAGCCGACCACGATCATGGCGATAATGTAGCCTGTGCTCCAGCCGCTTGGTGCCGTGTCCGCCAGGGTGAAAGGCAAGAGGAAGACAGTCAAGCCGGACGCGAACAGAAATACACCCGCAGCTGTACGAGGAAGTTCAGTTGACGTGTATCTTGGTTTCGAGGAAAGCGATATCACCTACCATCAAACTCCTGGACATAGTACCAAACGTTCTGCACCAAAGTCCGGCCGCTCTTCTCTCGTAATAGCAGACCTTGCCTTTGCGCCTTCCGCAGATTGATCTTTAAGACAAAATACAGAGGCGCCGCCACGAACGGCAAGATGATGGAAAAGCAGCCAAAGCCCCAGCGCCAGCTAATATTGTAATAGAAGTCGTCCGAAGCCTTGGGACCAGCAAATGCTGTAATCATATAAGGAGAGCTTGTAAAGGCGTAGGCTAGACCTCGGTTCTTCAACTTCGATGCGTCGGCCGTGATGACATCGATGCTGTAGATCATGCCTCCGAACCCGATCGAGTAGAAGACTTGCGCCGCGCAAAACGTCGAGAGGCCCGTGCCGGCAGCCATCAGGATCAGACCCAAGGTGGCAAAAGCGACCATCAGCAGAAACCCTTCAGCCCGACCCCAAATATCCAGCATTTTTGCGAGGGGGATGTAGACTGCGGCACTCATGGCATTCGAGACAATGTAGATGACTGTCAGTAACGAGTGCGTCTCGAAAGAGCTTGTCGCGAAGGGGACCAGATTGTACAGAATCGAGGACTGGAACGCATTGACAAAGTAGAGCAGCCACATGCTGTAGGTTGAGAAGACAGTCAGCAGAATATCCATCATGTCATCGCATACGGGTCAAGTATGCGACAAGCTAGGATGACACGTACAGGATGAAGACTGCGATCAGGGATTGCTTTGACCAAGTCAAGGTCACAGCTTCGACGTCTTTTACACCTCGCTGAGCATCTTGGACGGGAAGCTTCGCTAGAGCTTCAGCAACAATGTCATTCGTAGCGGCGTCTTCTGCACTGGTCGTGGCAGGCTGTTTCTCGTCTGCCGCTGTACTTTCGAGAGGAACGGTCTGTACAGAAGTGTTGACGTCGTCGGTTGTCGTTCGCCGGAAGCCAGGTCGGAACCTGGAAAGTGATGCCATCGCTATCAATGTCTTTGTCTCACTGTGGCCTGCGGTGGTGGTAGGGCTGCAAACCCGGAAGAGGAGACAGCTCGAGTCTTTGTAGACACAACAACCCTCTCGTTAGCTCCTGCAGGACCCAGCATAGAGTCGAAAGGCGAGGCATATGCACCGAGACCCGTCCAAAAGCGGAGCTCAAGCTATGAGCGTCACATGAGAGCTCGCGCGCGGAAGCCGTGCACGCCATGCGAATGGGATAACCCGATGTCGGAATATCTGGTACGAGGCACTACACTAGGTCCAGTCCAGGGTGGCGCAAACGAGCGGGTGTCCAGGGTAGCGGAAGAAGACGGACAACGTGGAAGAGCGAGCTTCTCTACTCAAGTGCAGGTGGTATTGAGCAGGGGGTGAACAGGGGGTGAAGCGGGAGTGAACAGGTTGTGAATGGACCTTATCTTCCACGCGATAAGATTAGATCACATGTGCCGTCCCATTCGTCCCACTCCAGGCGGGGCGGGCAAACTCTGACGGATCCAACGGCCGAAACAAGCTCCTAGACTTAGCGAGACAAGATGAGCTTGAGCTCTGGTTTGTTGGTTCTCGCGAGCCAAGGTGAAAATTTTTCATCTAATCAGATTAGATTCGTTCGCGTACGCCGCAGTTGCACTCGGCGCATTCGCTAGCCTCTCTCCTTGAACTCTCGGAAGCGTGCGCTGGGTGAGTCGGATCGCCCTGCAGAGTCTCCTTTGGCAGACCATTCTCCTGTGTATACTGAGGTACAATTCAGTACAAGCTTTGGGCCGAAGGGGACTTGATGGACACCAGTCCATAGCGGCCAGAGAACCACTGACGGAAGGCTCTTCTGTCGGTAGCAAGTAAGGCTTCCCGACCAAGGAATGCACTCTACCGCCACTGGCCACAAAGCCCTTCCTCCGCCTTGCCTAAAACAGGATCGTTTTCAGGCTTGGGGACTGACCAGACCCTCTCGTATTCACCTCGATTCTCGCCACCTGTAGCGAAGTCCCATTCCCCTCCGCCTTTGGGATAGGCGCCAACCATTGTGAAACCGTCCAGCTGAACATTTGCCAATGTTTCTCTCACATCTGATCCTTTGGTTAAGATATGGTGACCGTCGCCAGGAGTCAGCAGCTTAAACTCAGTCACTGGCGACGTATCGAAGGTCTTATGCGCTGTCCCTGCGGGAAGGATGAAGACGTCGCCGACACCAGCTTCGACCTCGATCCCGCCTTCCTCTCTGCCATGGCCATGAGTATTCTCTTCCATGTCGTCTGCTGTGTCAGCAACCCCGAAGCGGATTTTGGCGGTACCGGTGAGGACGGCCATGCATTCATGGACTCCAGAGTGGTAATGGGAGGACTGTGTTGGGCCGTAGCGGAATATCCATTGTGTCTCCCAACCATTTATTGAGAAAAGATCGTGCGCCTTGATGGCTATACTGTCATCGCAAATAGTTGCTGATTTTGAAGACAAAAGGCCTGGGTAATGGAGCAGTGGTTGTGGTGAGTTGGGGACAAGAGATGTAGGGGGGAGATGATATTTCTTTACTTCAACCATAGTGCTTTTACTGCTGCTGTCGCTTTGCGACTTTCTGTCTGGCTCAAATCGTAACCAAATTTGCTAATTATACTTTTATCGAGAAGGGCTTAATAACCTGGAGTCTTTGGGTGATGAACCACGCCCCTTGGTGACCGACGTGTAGACCCTGGCGGGAAGGTTCTTGGCGAGTGTGGAGCGCGCCCAATGAAAACGCATCTATGACGCTGTTTAAGGGAAGGCTGAATATCGCAGCCTTGTGCTTCCGGCCTCGTGCATCTGCGCGTCAACAACGAGAAGCAGCCTGGATATTAAACAGTGCTTTGGTCGCTTTAAATCTCTTGCGATTTCATTCTCAAAAAAACCTCTTCGCGGTCCGGGCCTCTTCTACTGGGGTCAGTCTGGACAATGCCCGTAAAACCACTCTCCTTCAAAGGAGACAAAAAACCTAGCAAGAAGCGCAAGCACCGGACCGACGATGACAACGTCGACGTCTCCAAGTCAGTTGCCGCTGCCGAGACCGCCGATCCATCCGCCGAGGACGAGACGTGGACAACGCCCGATCAACCGTCGGACCTCACAGGGCCAGTCCTGCTGATTTTGCCCACTATTCCACCGACCTCTCTAGCGTGCGATGCGCACGGCAACGTCTTCGCCTCGCCTCTGGAAAACATTATCGAGAATGTACCGGAAACATCTGAGCCGCATGATGTGCGACAAGTCTGGGTTGCCTCAAGCGTGGCAGGCACCGGCGAAATCAGTTTCAAAGGCAGTCATGGCGGCTACTTGAGTTGTGACGCTCTGGGTGTGCTCGGCGCCCGAAGGGAGGCAAGAGGTCCGGAAGAGGGATTTGTCGTTGAAGATATCAGCGAGAAAGAGTTGAAGGGCAGAGTCCGATGGAGGGTTAGGACTGCCGCGAGCAAGAAGGAACCTGGCGAGCAAGGACGGCGGTATCTCTGTGCTCTCACGGAGACGAAGGCGAATGCAAAATCAGTCAACATCTCATTACGCGGTGATGGAGAGGCTGGTTCAGAATCTACGCATCTCATCGTCAAGATGCAGGCGCGGTTCAAGCCTCGGGTGCAGCAGAACAAAGAGACGAAAGCAAAAGAAAAGGTCAGCCGGAAAGAACTCGAGCAGGCCGTCGGTCGAAGACTCGATGACGATGAAGTCAAACGCCTGAAAAGAGCTAGGAAGGAAGGGAACTTCTATGAGGAGGTCCTAGACGTCAGAGTCAAAGGCAAGCATGATAAGTTCGCTAGTTGAGAAGCTCGTCGATGAGACTATCACTAGCTCTGACTGAAGCATGCCTGCTATTGCAAGGCTGCCCCAAACCAACCAAAGGGATGCTCAGAAACAACGCAAGTGTACACGTGTCCGCCAAAATTTTTCCGTCATCACATCACAGCCGTACAACAAGAGAATCTACCCTGAGTCAACAAGCCAAATTTGTTCAGAGACGCCAATCGCTATGCAAAACTTGAGTTCGGGACAATGTCATTGCAAATTCATGGTGAATCAGAGGCTAGGGAAGACTCGGCCAGCAACGCGGCGCCCTTCACAATCAGTTAGCAACCGATCCGGGATTGAAGCAGATGCGGGGACTTACAAAGAGGTCTCGAAGCCTCCGCCACGCGCCCCTCATCAGCACGCTGCTGGTAATCACGAGCTTGTCTGCGGGCGATTCGGTCGCGCAACCATGCCCGCCTAGCAGAAACGCCCTGGGCACGTACTTCGGCAGGCACTTCATCCTCGGCCGTGGCCATTCTTCGGGGAGATGGCATCGGATCCATCTCTGTACCCGCACTCCTTTCCTGTTCGGGTGATATATGAATATCTATGCGTGGCGCCGGTGTGGGAATTGAAATAGCGCGTAGCGCACGGCCTCTCATCACCAGGCGAGAAGCTGGGGTGGACACATGAAGTGTGCCACCCCGCTGCTGCACCCGCCGCATTAATCTCTCTCTCCTCACCATGATGTTTGTTACTTGGACTGGACAGTATCCCGCCGGAAGTGAGGATTTCTTGCACAACGGACAAAGCGAGCTGTTGTCGCGTAGGAAAGGATCGATGCATTCCGGATGAAAGATGTGATTACAGGGGAGTTCGCGGACAGTTGTTTCTCCACTGACGAAGTCGTCCAGACAGATCGGACACGTTGACTGAGCGAATGCGACTTCATGAGTTGCGGCAGCCGGGCCAAGGGCGCTTTCGACGTCTTTGATGTGGGACTCGGCCACCTTCTGTGTCGTGGGTCCGACAGCATCACTCGTTCCGGACTCGCCCGGCTGCTTCGTAGCATTCCCGTTGTCGTTCTCCGGCTCCGGCTTGGCCGTGTAAGTGTATTGCGGCATCTTGTCCAATATCTCTTGTGGTACTTGCAACCTCTTGATGCCCAAGGACTCCAGGTTGACCTCACCGTCGGCGACTCGGCGTTGCAGCACGCGTCGTTGTCGGCGTTGGATCATGTGCATGATAACCGAGCTCATCAAGACGACTGCGAGGAGGATGGCTAGGACGATGATCAGGAAGACCCATAGCGACGGTATGCCCGCCCTGGTGTGGATGGCCATTCGTGCGTACAGCCTAACGCTATCGTGGGGATTGTAGATGGTGATCAGATCCTCCCCAAATGGCACTTCTGACATGTTGCCCGAATACTGTGCCAATTCATTCAGAAGAAAGGACCCTAGCATTCCAGGGATCGCATAGACTGGGTATCCATTGATAGACTTCCATTGCCCGCCGTCATGCAGAGTCCAGGATTGGTCGCTGACAGGAGGAGGCAGTGCGCTGGAATTGTCAGGGTGGAAGAAGATTGCTCCTCGGACCTCGTCTGCCCGCATGACAGACAGGTAAGAACCGACGCATTCTGGCTCTGTCCACGGTGCCAATGCAATCAGAGGATAATCGCCCGTGGGGATCTCAGCCCGGGTCGTGACATTTGCTGGGATGAGGGCTCTGGTGGAGTTGCCACAGGGACTCGAGGGCGGAAGATTGGGGGTGTATAGAAGGCCTTGTATGGCATCGTAATGATGAGGATTGTTGGGTGACAGGGTGCGAATAAGGCCCGATGCTCTCAGAGCAAAGCCGAGTGAGTCCTGCCCGCCAAAAGTCAGTGTGTGTATCATCGGACACCCATCTGATATCCCTACATTGACTATTTGCGCTCGATCTGAGGGGTCGTATTGTGGGTTGGGAAGCACAATTGCGACCACACCGAAGTCCTGTGCAGCTGTGGAGCGGGTAAGCACCTATTGCGTGAGACAGAATATAAAGCTTGGACTCACACATGGCTCCAGCTACCGAGTAGTCCAAAACCAGAATGAAAAGTAGTAAGTAGTCGAGAATTGCGCAGGCTCAATCGGCCGTGTGCATGATCACGAAGATGCGACCGAAGCGTTACTTGGTGCGAATCCGTCGGGAAACACGGCTATGTCTAGAGAGCTCTGAATGATCCCTCAGACAACTCTTGGACCGTCATGAACGTCCTGGGACGAAGACTACTCACACAGGACTGCCAGCAATGGTGAAAACTGGTAGAAATGTTCCAATACCGTGCAAGAAGCAGTGAGAATATACAGAGTTCGGAGTTCGGTGTAGTGACGACCTCGATCTCAAGGCAAAGATGAGGGATCTGCACCGCCTGGTGCGGGCGCTGATACGGGCGTGGGTGGCGGCCAGGATAGTGCCTCTTGAGGGACTCCGCCGTGCCATGGTTGAAGCGGCTATCCGGGGCATGTTTCTGCGTGTCTCAGGCTGCACAGGCCTACAGATGCCGGCTAAGCTCGCTAACCGGGCGTGCCGGGGTTTAAATCGGGAGGTCGGGTCTTGGCCTTACGTTCAGCCCTAAAAGTACAAAAAAGGGCATGTTAGCCGAGCTTGGCACATAGTCGTGCCTGCGCCCGCGTCTCTGAATGTCGGTTCGATGAGTACTGTGGTCAAAGGGCTAGGATCCGTTTTGGAGAGTGTCATTCCGCCCTCACTGTCGACGAACTCTGCTAGTGACAACGAGAACAACTGCCGCTGCGAATAGAATCAAGGACCCGGCCATTACGACGTAAGGCTCGAGCGTCTTCGCGCCTCCGAATGACGCCCCTCTCACACCATCGACGATAAGACAATATACCTTCGAACATGCCTCCTTTAGGAAGCGCCAGTAAGAGTAAGAACAAGATGCGAGAAGGGCAACGGTCTCGAAGTCGGAACACGACGCCGAGCTCTGTGCTCAGCGCAGGTACTGCTCCTCTTGGACCGACGACGACACCTCTTCTTGAACTGGAAATGTCCAAACTTCTGGTCCCGGCGAAGCCCAATTATACAGAGATTATAGATCACCTCGAGACTCAAGGCTCGAGGCTCGAGCCCAGGTCGCTGAATGACATCATTGATCAGTTGAAACATCTGAGCGATTCGGCCGAAAAACGCGCCGAACTGTGCGAGAAGGCTATTCGTGTGATCCATGAACAGAAGAAAGACTTGGAATCAGACCAGCAGGATCATGACCGCCAGGCAGAGCAGGCTCGCCGGGCGAAGGCACGGAAAGAAGAGGCGACCTCTCAGAAGAATCTGAAGGCGAAGAAGCGAAAAGACAGACCCGAGACCTATGATAGTGTGGAAATCAAGAAAGAAGGTATGTCTTCTCGGTATCCTCATGCCTTGGCGTTGAGCCACTGAGCCACTGAGTCACTACGAGGTCTCTCCCAGCACTCACTGACTAAACCTGTCCAGATGAGCCCCCCAAAACGAAGCTTGGGCGTGCCACATCTGCGCCCGTAGACAGTCCTTCACCATCGAAGAAGACAAAGCTCAGTCCTGGCACATCATCATTGTCAGAGGTTGCCGATTCTCCCGACGCTGCTGCTGCTGCAAGCGCTCGCGCATCGCCAACCAAATCTGATGTGTCCATGTCCGATGCCGAGGAGAACCGTGTAATCCACTCGCAGCCTTCGATACCTCAGCAGGGTTTCTTTCCCGACCCTCTGGCTCCAGACAAAGTAATTTACCACATTCGAGAGGTCACTCCCGGAATGTCAGATGCAGAAAAGAAAGAGATATACCAAGTTACCGCGTTTCCAACAAAGGATTTGAGTGATCAGATCGCAGGCACGCCTCCTGACAAAGACTTCAGCACCGCCAAGCCAGCCAACCAGATCGCTGCAAGCACTTTCCTAGCCTATGTTGAGCCATATGTCCGGCCTCTCACCGAAGAGGATATCGCATGGCTGAGAGAAAGGGTAAGTGCACGAGGACAGTTAGTATCTTGGAAGTGCTTAGGCTGACCTTGAGAAAGGGTGACCGCACGACTCCCTTTCTGGCAGTACCGCGCAGTAAACGCTCCTACCAGGAGATCTGGGCGGAAGAGGACACTGGGACAATATCAGTGGAAAGTGGTGACAAGCTCCCACCCAACCATCCACGAGGAAATCTTGAACAAATTAACGACGACAACCTTGCTACAGACCAGGTTTCAACCGGCCCATTGGCAAGCCGCCTTCTGTCTCTGCTCAAGTTCGAGCACCGATCACCACCCAGTGACGTCAACGGTATAGGCGATATGAATTCATTTATGGCTGATGGCAATGATACCATGGACCTGGATGGACTTACCAACGGCCACGACCCGACGGAGAAGCCACTGCCCCCAGCGGCTGCTGTTGCCGATCAAGCACCGTCGAAGAATACCATCTCGCAGCGCCTAGATTACATACAAAGCGACGAACGGATTAAAGGTGAACTCCGCCATCTCGGCTTACTTGGACAGGATGAAAATCCAGATTATGACGCTCACCATGACGACGACATTAGTGAGAGGTTGCGCCTGCTACAGGCTGAGCTTCGTCGAGTCATGATCATTAATGGGGCTCGTAAAGCCCGCTTGCTGGATTTGGCAAAAGAGCGTCTTGCCTTCCAAGAATACAGCACTATTCACGAAGATCTGGACAGTCAGGTACAGCAAGCCTATCTCAAGCGCACGCGGACGCTGGGCAAGACCAAGAAGGGTGGCCCGGGCGCCAATAAACCGAAAGCTGGTACCCACGGTGTCGGAGCGCCTGGTACAGCAGTGAGTGTTAGCAGAGCGAGAGACATTGGCGACTCTGCGCGCATGCTCATGGATCGGAGAAAGCGCTGGGAAAACTGCATTGGCCCTGTTTTCAAGGACATGAAGCACGGCATACCAGACAAAGGCACAACTTTGTGGGATCCGAAGATCATGGAGGCTTACGAGAAAGCCGAGCTGGAAGCACTGGAGGAAGAAGCAGAGTGAGGCAGTCTTCCAGTCGGACACTGGTGGGGGTATATCGAGAAAGAATGGTGACTAATCAACATCAATAAAGGTGGCATGCACGTGATGACGACCAAGAGGGTGCCCTGTCCGTGTCCTAGGTGGAAATGATTAGCATGAGCAACAGTGCTGTCATCGACGGCAACAGCATTAGCACATCTGCTCGATGGAAACAATGGACAAAGCCATTTTGCGGCGGTTCTCACGACCTGAGCCAAAGCGTGCGGAAACAATGAATTTGATATTCTCCGAATCCGGCCTACAGCGTGTTGTTTGGCGACCCGGCTCTTTGAAGCTGAAAGAACATCAGTGCCGCGGCCTCGGCGAGGGCGAAATCCTGCAACCGTGCTGATCTGAACGAGTACATCAAACTCGTACACCCCCTGCCTGCGGCGTTTGTGCTGTCGCTTCAAGCATTTGGCCAACACTAGCGCAGCGGAGCCTACCGTATCTGCCAACAGCATGGCATTAGACAGCTTCCAGGTGGACTGGAATACAGGTGTGTTGCAAAGCTTCTTCCAAGACCCGACAGAGCGACAGGTGGTTCCGGACTCTCCAACCAAACACTTTTTCAGTTGGCACGAGAGCAGCTTTCGGGGTCGCAGAAGACTCATTGGTGATAGATTCAAATACCTTTTCTTCTCTTCCCTGAATTTGCCTGATGAGGAGGAATGGATGTTCGAGCGGCCCATGGGAAAAGGGTCGTTCGGCGCGGTCGCCTTGTTTTCGAAGATGAATGAACGGCAAGAGCGAACAGATGTGAGTGACCGTCCCAACTCCTTCTGGTGCACGACTGACAATCTTCTTGTTCAGGCCTTTGTGTTGAAGGTCACTGAAGCGAATCCCGAACAATTTGTCCCCGCGCAGTCGAAAAAGTCGCACCTGACTCATGAAGCCGCGATTATGGCGCAGACAAATGAGCTCGATTCAGACGTGCTCGTACGTCTCCGGCAATATCGAGTTGACCAAAATTACTGCAGATACTATACCGAGTTTTGCGAGTTCGGGACTTTGGAGTCCCTGCGACTGAGATACAAGGCGTGGAAGTAAGCTTCACTACGGGATTGACTTTCTTCCTCGTCGCCACTACTGACACGTTGACCGCAGCAAATATTTTCCCGAGCTCTTCCTGTGGCATGTTTTCCACTGTCTAGCCAAGGGATACCTTGACTTTGTCAGGACCAGGTGGAGAAGCCTCAGAAACTTGGACTTTGGAGAGCAGGTTGACGGGCAATATTTTCTGCATAATGACATCAAGACGGAGAACATCTTCCTTGCCACAAATCCCTCCAAAGATGAAGACACCGTCTGGTATCCGAAATCCAAGATTGGCGATTTCGGACTGGCCACCACTACAAACGCTGGCGAAATAAACCGGAACCATGCCAAGGCCATGCAAGCAGGCACACCGTGTTGGCAGCCTCCGGTAAGCACACATCATGATCCGTTCTGGCGCTGGCCGTAGGCTCACTCGATCCAGGAACAACGCATTAGTCATATGAAGGACTATCGCCACTACTATTTCCACGAAGACGTTCACCCGGATCTGAAAAGGAAGGTTGGACTCGACCGGCGATTCCACCGGATCCGTCAAGAAGCGAACATTTGGGCCATTGGCGCTGTCATGTGGAACCTAGTGACTCTGGATGAGATAGAAGTACTCAGTGACAAGGTCAATCGAATCCTGTACGGCGGCACTGCGGCAGCGCGCGCCTTTGACGGAAAGAACATCATGAAACGGCCAGATCCAGTGATCAAGCAACGGTATAGTCCTAAACTCTGGGACTTGGTGTGCGAATGCTTGCGAATGAAGCCGGGCGACCGACCACCGCCTAGTCGTCTGCTTTCGGAAATTGAAATCGGCATGCGTGACTGCATGGAGCGGGAGCAAGCAGAGTACCAGCGGACCGGCGACCTAGCGCCACTGTTGGTGGCATTTGAACAGAATCAGATCAATGACCTACCAGACGGTGGTGCAAACTTTCGCAAAAATCTGGATTTCTGGTCTTACTTCGCAGAACATCTTCTGTGGACGCCGAGACAATGGGGCCCACTATGTCCGCCAGATGCGCCTCGTCATATCAACTTTGAGGCTGATGGCTTGCCGAGTCCATTGCGTCGAAGACAAGAGCGGGAGTGGGAAGAAGCACTTGAACAGAGAGACAGGAAGAGGGCTGCGCAGGATGCTGGCGAGCCGCTGCCTATCAGTCAATCACCGACACAATCCGAAGCCGTTCAGAATCAAGCAAAATCGCGGCGTTTCAGCAAGTCGTCCGACCGAGAGCAGCAACCGCGGAAGAGGACGAGGTTGGCTTGAGGACTCTCCAAGAGCTCCGAAGAGAGTCGGATCGTTGGCGTCTAGGACGCCACCGAAGCCGGACTTGTTCATTGTGTGCTTGGGAATGGGAAACAGGGTGATCGTGCCACCAAAGCCACCGCATATGAAGGATCTTTTCGCGCCTGAAGCGCTTTTCGACCATGATGCACGAGGCACTTGGACTCTACGCACCCGCTGAACGGCATCCCTTGCTAGATCACCAACTGGCCGCATTCCCTACACCTTCAAGGCGAGACTGTTCTCCTGCCGTCGAGAATGATCATGCTATCGACGACGGTGCCACTCGGATGAACCCCGCTCTCAAGACGGCGTTATAGGGGAGTAGTCAAGGCGGAGACGGACGACGGATGCGAAATCGCAGATTGCCAAGGTCGTGGAGGCTCCATACCTGCTCGTCACAGCCGTACACTATCGGCAGACATGAGCACAACAGGCGCACCACAGCAGTAAACAGCTGCTTTTGTTTCTTTACATAACCTTTCCACAGTCACGAATGACATCGCGTCACTGCGGGCGGCATTCCAGCCCTTCGAAGGCAGTGCCTGCGGCTTTTACTTGAGTATTCTGGCGACGGTCATCTTTCCGTTCGCTCTCGTGGCCTCGATGTACAGTATGGCGGACGACTTTCGCCCCGGGAAGTCCTACTTCTGGATCTTCTTCACCGTCAGCACTCCACTCACGGTCGTGATCATCTTTTTCCTGGTCTTGAACCAGAACTGGGAGTACTGGCAGGACCGTGGCTGGCTGGTGTTGAATATCAGCACTCAACGGCGGGCTCCCCAAGCAAGACAACAGCATGTAACACGGTCGAAGCATGGGGAGCTCCCCTTGTGACGCGTTGGGAGGTGGTGGAAGATGCTTTGCATGTCAGCCAATCGGGGGTTGCGCATAGGGAGGCCATCTGACGGCAGATGGTGATTCGTCAAGGGGTCGTTCCGTTATTGTATTCTACCTTCATCATATTGTACCTTGTAACGTTGCCAATTCACTCACACAGGCAAGAAACTGAGCATGTTGCCGACTCTACTTACGGCCCAGCTTGTAACCTCCGTTCGGCTGAGACCAGCCAAGCCCTGATATCATGATTCCCGTCACAATCGACCATCTCCCCTTCGTCCTCATAGCCCTCGGTGTCCTGCTGGCCACATACCTGCTCAGCTTGTGCACCTACAGGTTGTATTTCTCACCGGTCGCACATATTCCCGGCCCATCACTAGCCAGGATCACCTATTGGTATGTGAGCGGCGCCCTCATCTTGTGATTAATTCCAATCCGAAGTCCACTCATCGCATCCCTGCTGCCGACCATATCTTACACTACAGACATCCACGGGACGCTGACCGAACAGCCAGGTATGAATTCTACTACGACGTCCTGCTGAAGGGACAATACACGTTCAAGATCAAAAGGCTGCACGACCAATACGGCCCTATCATCCGCATCAATCCACACGAAGTCCACATCCGGGACCCCGATTTCTACGAGGTCGTCTACGCGGATGACTCGCGCTGCAAGCGGGATAAATGGTCATGGTCATGTCGACAGCATGGTCTCCCACTCTCGACTCTCGCAACGGTGGGCCACAACCATCATCGTCTCCGGCGGGGTGCGCTGGATCCGTTCTTCTCAAAGGCCAGAGTACAAAGCCTCCAGCCGGTCCTCGAGGATGTCGCCCGAAAACTACTCGCTCGGTTTGAGGAGTTTCAGATGCTCGGGGATCCGCTTCCGATATCTCTGGCGTTTGCGACTTTGACCAACGGTATGCCTTGCCTGTCGGTGTGACCCGCCTGGCCGGGACCTGGTCAATTGTGCTCTGAAGGATCAAGCTGATCGAGCAGAGTAGATATCGCAGAGCAGTACGTCCTGGGCCGGAACGACAAGCGGGCGCTGGCGAGAGATTTCGATCCCAGCTTCTACGAGGCGTCCCTCACCAGCAGCACAACGGGCTACCTGACGAAGCATTTCCCTTTCATCACCAAGCTCACGCAACTCGTGCCAGATAATCTTACGATACTGATGAAACCGGCCACGGCGTCATACGTCAAACTCCGGCGGGTGAGTGGCAGGGCAGGTCCGGGTTGGCCTCCTTCGACCCTGGAGATTCAATCGATACCTGCACAGGCCTTCACTAACACGTGTGAGCAGGATATCAAACATCAGATCGAACAGATCGTCCGCACAGAGCACCGTGGCGATGATAATGCTAAGAGCGATACGTCCAAGCCGTCATCCCACCAGCACACCCTGATCCATGAGATCCTGCGCAGCGATCTTTCATACGCAGAGAAATCGCCCGCCCGAGTATATCAGGACGTCCAAGCAACCGTCACGGCTGGCACGTTGGCAACGGCGTCCGCCCTCTCCTACACGCTTTTCTCCCTGCTCTCGCACCCACGGCTTCTCCAGCGTCTCAGGACAGAACTGCATGCCGCGATGCCGAATCCTACAGTATTACCGTCCCTCGCTGTGCTGGAGCAGCTCCCTTTCTTGACAGCCTGCATCAAAGAGGGCCTGCGCCTCAGCATTGGCGCGAGTTCGCGCCTTCAGCGCATCGACCCTGTCAACCCGATCGTCTTCACGGCGGACAGGACGGAAGGTAAGTCATGCACCTACGTCCTCCCGGCGGGGACTCCCCTCTCCATGACGGGTCTGCTGGTGCATTTCGACAGGGATACATTTCCCAATCCAGGTGCCTTCGATCCAGATCGCTGGCTTGGCTCGTCCACTCCGGACAGGTATCTCGTCGCATTCTCCAAGGGGACAAGACAGTGCGTGGGCATCCACCTGGCGTACGCGGAGATGTATATCGCACTCGCCCTGATATTTAGAATCTACGGCTGCAGCGAGGTAAGAATGAAGGGCGACCGTGGATATTTGGAGCTGTTTGAGACGGAGGCGGCTAGCGATGGCGATGGCAATATCGACATCGTAGACGCGGGCGGTATTTCTTCAGCTCACCAGAAGCGAAGCAGGGATATTCGAATCAAAGTCGGGCGCTGAGCTGTGCAGTCAGGAGACTGAGACTAAGATTTCGATGTGGTGTGGTGTGGTGTGGTGTGGCGTAGCGTGCGCAAAGACGGCGTCGCATAGGATATCAAACGTAGCAGAAATGTCAGAGCATGGATCGCGAGAGCGAGCACGCGGGCGCGCGCGTGTGTCATTTCTGGTCGGGAGTGCCTGCCCTAGACGACTGATCTGCTTTATAGTCAATCCCACTTCTACCTGGGTACACGCCTAAGTATATGTACCAGCCACTTCGTCCGCCGCGCGATCTCCATCCGCGCGTCGACGCCCTTGCCGGTTCTTCACCTGTTGAATCAATCCATGTTAAGAGGCCACCACCTCCGTTGCCGTTGCGGGTTTTCCACTCGAGCTGGCGGAGAAGCCACAGGCGGCTTCACTGCAGAAATCATTTGTTTGTTCGTATGCCCTGTGTGTGTATTAACAGACGGATCTATGCAGCAGATCTAAGGCACATTGCCATGTTGGGCTGGGGCGTCAAGCAGCCCAATAGGTTGAACCCTTGGCGTCGACTCGTCGGTGGTTGTCTGTATCGGCGTTGAACTTGGCATACATAGCACCACAACTCGCGTAGTGTACTTCATTGATGGTTACACTCAGTCACCGTGGACAGCGCCGGGACGTGCAACTAGCCAGTCAGTGAGAAGGCGGTTCGGAGCACCAAGTTGCAGTTTGATGATGAGGCTCTCGTATTTGCATTCTGTGGCACTGTGGCACTGCTGCAATCGACGCCCCTGGGTGGCCCCCAATAAAAAGGCGACTGCACGGACTAAGCCAACTATACATAACTAGTAGATACGAGGTATGCCGAGAGCGCTTAATTCGATTTCGACTAATAAGAAGGGTCAAAGCCGTATGATCCAATGGGACAATCTCGTTTTCGCGCTGGACGCAGGAGCGCGAATACTCCCGTACATGATGGCACAGATAAAGCAAGCCATCTACCGAGCCCAGGGGAACAAGGACGAGGCCGGACCTTTGGCCAGGCGTCTGGTCCTTTGGCCTGCCGGGTTCAGCACCTGGCCATGTCACCCTCGTCCCATAGGGATTGTCAGGAGCAATTTTCCTTACCTTGGCGGCTTGGCTTCTTCCAGAGTATATTACTTCGTGTGCGGGAGCACCTGCAACTCAGCCTGATTAGCGCTTCGTGACCGTGCTCGTGCCTTCCTCTGCCGAGTGTTTCTTTTTTGCATCCTTGAATCGTCTGCCCACCGGGTCCAGGGAGCAAGATAGAAAGATCTGCATCTTTTCAGCCTTGTGCCGACATCCACCATGTCTCTACCCTCGATTGCTGGGACCAAGAAACATCGCGTAGCGAGCAATGAGGTCAACGAAAACCTGCCACTTACGCGCACAGGCCACAACAACATGCCCTTGGAGGTGTTCAATATTAGCAGATCCGCACATGAGCTGCGGCTTGGTAGACCCTTGAGGCGGTCACTTGAGGTGAGGTGGAACCACTCCACTTTATTGGAGGCCAGGCTGGACTGATTGACGTTCTTGCGGGACAGATGGATTCCATTGACGTGTTGTGCTCGGGCCGTAGGTTGAAGAGCCTGCTCGGATACCGACGCCATGAGTGTATCAAACAGATCCACTGGGATTTGGACAGGACCATCGCTGATGCAAATTTGTCCCCCCTGGATAGAGAGCATTTCCAGCCGTATGCGGCCAATTGCCTGGAGATCCTGGAATGCTGGAGTTACGACGGCGTGACAACTGTGAAGCGCGACCATAATTTCAGGCTGATGCGTCTGGACGATGACAGCCAGCAGGTTAAACCAGATGAATTCAAAGCCAGGCTAGAGCGCTGGCTCAAGAGGCAAGGACAATATCAGGCGCTGAAGCCAAAGGGGGCTGGGGCTTTGAAAGGTGGCATTCGGCTTGTGATGTGTGACAGACCCAATGCGGCGGCGCGAATGACTATCAGTCGAGATGCGTTCGAGGCAATCGAAGCAGAGTTTCACATGCACGAAGCAACGCTGCCGGCATTTCTCAAGGAGGCAGGAAGTTTGTTAATGCATAGAGTAACCGGGCAGAGTGAGGAGACGACAAAAGTCCAGATTGTGTTGAAGGTTGCGCAGCACATGGAGATTTCGAATTGCCTCCTGTCGCTCACGTATGACGTTGCAAGTAACTGGACCGACGCCTTCATTTGCGGCGACGGCATCATCTTCGAGAGAATATGCGACAGAGGCCACTGGGGCCTGGGAAGACAGCAACAGCAGCTGCTCGCACCCTTGATATCGCTTCCAGACTTGTGGACGAAGCCTCTGCTCCTACCAACCGTGGTCTTGCATGTGTGCGAGAGACGATTACTGAGCTTGCCGGTACAGCAGAAAGCGCGAGGGTGACATGGAGGATCGCCTGGGCGTGACATGGGTTGACTCGCCACGTGATGGCCGCGAACAACCAATTTGGCCGCTGGATATTGACGTGAAGTGGGCAACGAGGGAGCTGCACAGTTTGCTGCATCGGGTGCAGGGCATGCTGGAGAAATCGGCCTGGCAGGCTTCATTCGCCAGCTGGCTGCTCAAAACCGAGGACAAACTGGTGGCAGACACAAGCCTCCAGCAAAAAGCGGCATCTGGGGAATTGCGAGGCGCCGTCGAGAGCATCGCATCGGGCATTGACAGTCTGCATGGATATCTTGAGACTGGGGCATTCAGACTCCAGTCCCAGATTGGTCTGCTTTTCAACGTGGTTGGCCAGCGGGATGCATTGATTAATTTCGAGATTGGCAGTTCGGCAAAGCAGGACAGCATCTCGATGGCGACTTTCACCTTCATCGCAGCTATATTCTTGCCTCCGACCTTTGTTGCAACACTGTTCAGTATGGGCATGTTCGACTGGTCGGACGGTGATGGAGGCAACGGCCACGTGTCGGACAGTTTCTGGGTTTTCTGGGCCGTTGCTGTGCCATCGACTGCCGCCACGATTCTCTGCTGGTACCTCTGGTATAGACATGCATATCGAAAATGGCAAAAGAAGTTTGGTCGCCATCGCCCGGATGAAAGAGCAGGGACGGATGCTGTGGGAAGGTGATGGAGACAGGACATTGAAAGGGAGGCACAAGGAGAATCTTCTTCTTCAGGCGCAAAACATTTGTCCCAATCCGCAGGCGCATCCAGACCACTTCAGTCTAATCCCAGAAGAAGATCGGGCGTGAGGACTGTGCCACCGTAGGTGACAGCAGGGTAATTCCCAGCAAAGTCGATCAAAAACGTTGAACCGGTCCTTCGACATCTGGTCCAAGCATGCTTCTCTTGAGCCAGACGCTTCTCCAGCTGCTTCATCCGCTTTTCCATTCTGGGCAATTGGACTCTCGCGCCGCATTCTTTGCAACATGGACATCAGCCTCTGCAACCTTCAGAGCCCCAAAGTATTTTTTGCAAAAGTACGGCCCATGCGCTCACCGTCCCGCTGCATCCTTCTCAGATTCCAATTTCTTCATCAACCGTCTGCAGCCTGCTAAGTGTCTCCAGGGCTACTCGACAACCTTGCCTGACAGCCTTCTGGTCCTTCTTCCCGAGCAAGTCTGACGTCTTCACATTCTTCTTGATGAAGAACTGTAACCTCTTGACGAGCTGTGGCGTATCGGCGGCCGTCCGCTCCAGCACCTTAACCAACGCGGTCGGTTGCGCCTCGACGAGGATAATTGCCACCATCAGCTCGACAAACATGATTGTCCGTTCCTTTGCAGACAGCAGATCCAACACTTTTAAAGCACCCAGTGGTATTGCCCCGTCTAGTACTAGGTGAGCATAGAGCCTGGCCAGATTTGCAATCTCAGTCATGTCGACGTCTTCGGCTTCCTGATCTTCCTCTCCGTCATCAAGATCGGAGGTTTCGCCTAATCTTCTGAAAAAGCCCCACAATGCAAATTGGAAGGCCTTGCGCATTTTCTTGTCGAGACATAACTTCTTGGCCACGAGTGTGTAGTAGTGATTGTAAGGCTTCTCTCCAGCAGCGCAGCGAAGAAGGACCCTTGGAATCTCTTGCTCTTGGTTGCGCTTCAAGCGAAGTTTCAGAATTCGCATATGGCCGTCTTGATAGTCGACGGCGGAGAGTAAAGCAACGAAGATAGAGCGCCGGATATCTGTATTCATACCATACTGGCGAGAGAGAGCTAGCAGGTCGATTGACTCGTCGTCGACGTCTTGACCTGATGCCAGAATCGAAGTGTTGGTGATATCTTCCGGTACTGCTGCGGGCTCATTCCCTTTCCAGCTTGCTCCTACCAGCCACCACTTTCCCTTCTTGTCGCTGTTTTTGATGTCATCTCTGGTGACTCGGAGCGGCTCCAACGCTCTCACATTGCGCTTGTCATTAAGAGAGCCCAGGACCTTTCGCATCAGTGTAATGTGCTCGCTGGAAAGACCTGCGTTGTTGGTTGCTGCTTTCATTTTGTTGTTCTTGAGGTCGGTAATGGTCTCAATCATGAACTTTGTACGTACGCTCATCTGCTCTCCCGCCGAGTTCATGCGGGCCGTCTCTTTTTGCATTAGTTGAACAATGGATTTGAGGGACGATGGGTCATCTTGCCGCAACTGGGGGCCGCAGTCCCGGATCAGGCGCAGCAGGAGCTCTGTATTGTTCTCGCTCAGCCGTCCGAGTAAGAGGCGGATATAGTCAAAGATAATGGCGCTGCCGATCATGTGGAATGTGAATAGGTTGGACAGCAGACTGATCAGGTTCGGTGCCTCTTTTCCGCCAGTGTCGTCGTCGCGATACTGGTCGAATCGCGCCACTAGCTGGGACAACAACTCGGCACCAAAGTCGACCCCCACGACCTTGTACACCGCCGTGGCGAATGCAGCATGAAGGATGACAAAGGTATTCTGGAGGGCGGATCGATCGCACAAGAGCGTCAAGAGAAGCTCGATCAGCACGGTCGTGACATCCTGCCGAGGGTTTGATTGGTAGACTTTCTCGATCTCCCCCAAGATGGACACCAGATTCGCTTCGGACAGCTTGTTGAGGTGGCCTTGCAGGTGTCGTTTCAACCTCTCGATGACTGCCCCTTCCGAAACTTGTGCTTTTCTCAAAGACGGCGGGATATACTTGGAGGTTGATGCGCTAGGAGTGACTGGCGGCACGTAAGGGTTTTCACGAGGTTTCTTTGGCTGAGAAGGAGGGGACTCTTCATCCAAGTCGAATCCGTCGAACGATCCTGCTTCGTTTTGTTCCATTTCCTCATCTGAGATCTCGTCCTCGATATCCTCGTCCAGGTCAGCATCGATATCGCCTGCGCCGTCGTCGTCTTCGAGAATATCTGTCTCGTCGTTTTCATCGATGTTAAATCCTTCCTGCTCTTCGCTCTCACTCGCACTTGCACTGGCGCCATCTTCAACGCCACGCTCTTCATCAACGACAATTCGCCGTCTCTTGCGTTCTAACCATCCCTTCCCTTCGGATTTTCTCTTCCCACCCCTCTCATCGTCGCCCAATCCTTCAAGAAGATCATCCAGCCCATCCTCGGCATAGGATTTGGGAGTTTTGTTCTTCTTCAATCCGAGTTTCCTCTCAAGGGCCGATATTTCTGCCTCATCCTGTGCTGCTCGATCTTTGAAAGCACGGGAATTGGCATCGAGGACCAGGCCCGGCGAAGACGATCGCGAGCTACGAATGGAAGGTAAGTCTGACGGCGTCGGGGAGGGTGATGATTGTTTCAGGGACTTTTTGAGAATAGATTTCGGTGCATTCGGTTTGAGTCGCGTAGGCTTCGCAGGCCTGGGTTCTGGGGCTGGCTCGTGTTCATCATCATCGTCGTCGCCGTCGCCCGCATCATGCTCCGAAAACTCCTCCTCCGTCGCGGACGGTCTTGAACCTCGTATACGCTTATGCTGCCTCTTCTCGACACGGGAGGCCCTGCGCTGATCTTTCCTGCCTCTCACCGAACCATATTGCCTGCGTCGACCGCCTTCACGCGAATGTCCTTCAATTCCTAGTTCTTGCCGTAGCGCAAACGGCAATTTGACACCTTTTCGAGACCCGCCGCTTTGACGTAGCATCCCTCTCAGCAGCGCCCCTACCTGAGGCAAGTCTCAATAAGCCGCCCTCCGTGTAGGTGAGTATGTGTGTGGGAGTAAGTTCCATGTGAATGGTGCGCCGCCACAAGAAATTATCTCGAATGCGGAGAATCCGGCCGAAGATATGCCGTGAGATATGGCCTTCGTGGGCCTTTATCCCCACCATACAGTCACCTACGAGGCACGTAATAACGTGCAGACACTGGTGCAGAGCACAAACATATACACGATACATGTCAAGAACGTCAATATCAATGTCCATGTCCCACCTGCATTGAGCAACACTCCCGTCCTTGGGGACAATCAAATACCCACCAAAATGTCTCCTCAAGAACGACTATCGAACGACGAGGTGAGCTTTCTACCTCCCATCCTGAACTGAACCCGCTCGATTCGGCTCGTCTCGTCTTGTCTCATCTCGCCAAGCGGGAAAAAACAAAAAACAAACTAACGACCGTCGCCGGTGGTGGTGATGTACAGTTCCTCGCCCGCCTCAGCACGCTCCTCACCTCTACGCACGCGCAGGCCCACGGCTCAATCTACCTCACCCAGAAACCGCTTTTCGCAGCGGCCGACCCTGATTCTGCATCGGCTGCTGCCGCCGACTCGGCACAGATCCTCGTCCGTGCAACCAACGGCGTGGGCAGACTCCAAAAGTCCACCGCTGTATCCAAGGCCTCGAAACCGAAAGCGAAATCCAGTACCCCGGTCGCGGCGGCGGACACGAAGCCGAAGATCAGGTTCGCGACCCTGGTGGCGATGTCGGACTTGGAGTCTTTCTACACGCGGTATGCGGACGTGTGCAAGAAGGGGATGGAGGGGTTGAGGAAGCGGGACAAGAAAAAGGCAAAGGAACGCGCAAAGGCGAAGAAGAAGGGGAAGACTGGCGCGGGGGCGTGAAGGTAGGGGAGGTATTGTCGATTGACGGGTTCGGGGATGGTAGACCATAACGAACAATGTTTGATGGGCGGCATATGCAGGCAGTCAAGCATCTACGAGACACGCAGGGCCACTTGACCAGGCCTGGGTCGGGTTGCGTGCGCTGCAAGTGGCGGTGGGAACACCGTCACTACGACAGAAGAACAAGACCAAGTCCCGGAGGCGGTGGGGCACAGGAACATTCAAAGGCATGAATATTCTGGTGGTATCATCAAGGCTTGTATGTCGTAGAAAAGGTCCCCCATCACACTATGCAAGCCTCCACCAAGAGCCAGATGTTACAAGCAAGAGACGCCGCGCTTAGATTATCAAAACTCAACCTGAATACGATGACCGTGTTCACCATCTCATTCCGGAGCACTAATCCAGATCGAAGATGGAATCGGCGTCCTGGTCCTTCTCCGCCTTCCTCCGTGGTGCCTTGGCGGGAGTTGACTCGACACTCTTCGTTCTGCCCCTAATCGGCACACCGAAATCGTCCTCGTCTTCCTCGCTGTCGTCCCGCGGCTGAGCAGGCTGGTCTGGGAAGCTCGTCCTCCGGCGGTGGACGCCTTCCTCTCGTTCGCTGGGTCTGCGGAAGAGGTCGCCACTGAAGAGATCATTTAGTGTCGCCCCGCTGGCTATCCGTGCGAGGATGTGTACGAGTAACACGACCGCTTCAATGGGCTTGACGAGAGCCACGTTCGCAGCCTTTTGCAGGAATTGTGCTGTGAATGGCGAGCCATAGTTTGGGTTTGTGGGCGAGGTGGACGGAGAGTGAAGTATTGCGGATGGTGGAAGAGGGGAAAGCGATCGCTTCGCTAGTAGACGACGGCGTAGGTTTTCTTTGATGGGCGACGCCGGTGGCGTGTGCACTTCGGTCCAGGACGAGTCTGACATGGATGATTGCGCAAGTCCTGGTGTTGAGTCGCTGGTTGACGGTCGTTGTTTCTGAGGACTCTGCTCTGACGCGATGGTAGAAGCCGTTATTGTCATCTCTGACAGACCTCTTTGGTGCTGGTGGCGGTTCCAAAAAAAGGGAGTAAAGCCTTCAGCATGCTCTCGCTTCTCGAAATCCGTGGCTTGGACTTGTTCATCACGCGTATCCTGACTTAGGGAATCGGTGGTGTAGAAGGAATCCACGCTCGAGACTCGACTGAGGGCATCGTCGCCGTCGTCAGCAGTGATAACCTCGTCAGGTCCGGACTCCCTTTTTTCAGGATGCGTTTCGCCCATTGTTCCGGTGCCACTCTCACCGACCATTGGCACCATGGGTTCGATTGATTGGGCTTCTGGGCCGTCTTCGGCGGGTGGTGATGCCGCTGCCTCTTTAACGTGCTGCTCGACCGCCCTAGCGACAGATGTCTGCTCCGGACTGTCCACGTTGCTTCCTGCTTCCTGTTCTTGGTCCACTGCCGAAAGAGGTCCTTCACGTTCGACCTCATTCTTTAGGTCTCGCGGCGCTCCTTGTGGAATCTCTTCTTCGGATGTTGTAGCATCTAGCTCTTCTGCCTCGGGTGGTATTGACGGCTCTGTGGCGTCAGTATCAGGCATTCCCGAAGTCTCGGTGGCCGGAGGTTCGACAGGCTGAGGTAGCGCGTCGTCTTTCTCTTCAGGTTGATCACCTCCGCCTGTCGCAACTGGTCTGTCTGGAGATTTGGATTCAGAATTATCCGCCCGGTCTTCCAGCTCCGAGCCATTGACTGCATCCTCATCCGGCTGCTGCCGGTGGTTTGTCTCCTCTCCCGGCAGGCCGTCCTCGCTGGAGCCGCCTTCGCGGTCCCTTTCGTAAGCATCCTCGCTTGAGAGGACACTGGAAGGAGTGGAGCACCGATAGTTGTTTGCTTCCGGCCGTGTCCTTGACGAGCCTCGACTCGCACTATAACCATAATCCGATCCTCGCCGACCATACGTCTGAAGAGGGCTAGGCTCGTTCTGTGCTTGAAAACTCCAGGCTCGTGAATTCTTCGTCTTCCTCAACGGTAGAGGGTCGGTATTCGGGGTTGTGGGCTGAGGTGGCTGCCGCCTCTTCCAAGTACCTTTCCTCCGAGGTGTGATGGCATCGTCTGGTAAGTCCACGTGGAAAGCGCGCTTGAACGGGCACGGTGTCCGCTCGAAACGCAGCACCTTTCCCAACGCCGCTTTGAACTCCTCGACCTTCTGCTTGTCCTCTTCTGTTTCCGTTGGTAGCTCGATTCTGTAGTACATGAACTTCCCTCTCCGCAGTACGAATTTGGATTCTCCGTCAACACACCAGCACTGTGAATTGCGCATTATGGTATGGATGACTTTCTGGTCTGCCGACTTGAGGAAGTGGCTTGAGCCTCGGACTTTCTCAATCCTTATGAGTCCGCTGGTAGCTAGCGTCTCGGTGCGCGACCGCCATGGCAGGGTTTCAACAGCGTCGATGGGGTAATCGGCGTCGGGCAGAGTATCTTTGCTTGGGGTCTGAATCGAGTCTGTGGGCGGCGAAAAGGCTATGATGCGCGCGTTGGGGTGGGAGAAGAGGATATCGGCGTCGGCATCGGATCTGTCCAGACCTGCTCTCTCATGAAGGGAGAGCTGTCGCGAAGGAACAGTAAACGACCTTCGGTAACCCTGCAGCGGGGGTCGCTCGCCGTAGGATGTCGGTGGTGTGGCCATGCTGCATGTTTGGAGACAGCATTGGCCTGGTGAAGCGGAGATTGAACGGCGTCCCGCGTTATTTGCGGTAGGTTCGCAGCATACCCTGAGTATAGTTTATACTGGGGGTGTATAACAGTCGACTTGCACTTCAACAAGCTAGCTACATATTGTCACTTCCCGCGTACAGGCTGCGGGCGGTTGCGTTGAAGAGGGAACCAGCGGCCGAGCGAATCATCCCTGCAGCCTTGGCGACAAAGCCGGATCTTATTGGGCCGGTAAAGGACATGGACGTATCCGCGACTATACCGTTTTAGCACCCTATGTCATGCCGCCTTACTTTGCTTATGCTGTGGTGCAGAGAGCCGAATGCGCATCGACAGAAAGCCGTCAAACAAATGTATTGAATCCTGGCCAAAAGCAAAAGTACAGCCACTCACGCTGGGACCTCGAGATAAACAATCTCGACATCGCCATCAGACCTCATATGCACTCTTTCACATTTGTCAGACCTACCACCGTTGCACAGAGACCCAGATGACGTGAGGTCCGCTGCGGAACTTGCGTCTCCCTCGCTCGGTCATCAACCATGCCTTCAGCCAAGTGCGCTGGTACGGCCCTTGCAGGCTTATGAGTTCCTCGATCACTACCGCAGAAGATACGATCTCAGGACACCAAGCGTAGATGTTCTGGGAGTTAGATCTAGACACAAGTTTGCAAGCCGATCTCCACAATGTGGAAATCGGAAGCGCGAGAAGCACAAGACGGCGCAGAACAGGATTCCATGTCTCGATAATTCTATGGACCAAACGCATCCAGTGAGCACCCGGAGACGATCTTCGCTCAGGTCTATTTGCCGCAATACCCTCCATCGACAATTAAACATGCTCCCGAGGTGAAGGTATTTCCTGGAGCAGCCAGGAACAACATCGCGGGCACCAGATCCTGAGGCTCTCCCCACCGCTGCATTGGAACTCGAGCCATGAGGTAGTCCACCATCTTCTGATCCCCTTGGTATTGCGCTGTCATGGAGGTTTTCATAAATCCGGGGCAGATCGCATTCACCTGAATACCCTTGCTTGCCCACTCATTGCTGAAGGCTTTGGTCATCTGTATGACGGCACCTTTGGTACTCGAGTAGACGCTGGTATTGAACCCAGCTTGGTAAGATGTGACGGAGGCTATGTTAATGATCTTCCCCGGGCGTCCGAGAGAGAGCAGCTTGCGGCCGAACTCTTGCATGGAGATGTAGAATGATTTTACATTCACCTCTAGGAGCTACAGACAGGTAAGTATCCGGGTAACGCTGGCAGCAACTCACTTACCAGGTCAAGCTCCTCATCAGTTGCGTTCTCGCAGAGATTACGCCGCATGACGCCAGCGCAATTGATCAGTATGTCGGGCACTATCCCGGCGTTCCATATTGATTGATAGCATTCTCGGAGGCTCTTTGCGTTTCGCAGATCGCATTGGAACTGCAACAATTTACCTCCGACGCCATCAATCTTCGATTTCAGGTCTGAGGACGATGGGTCATTGGGCAGTTCAATGGACACTATCGTCGAGACTCCCGCTTGAGCCAATCCCAGGGTCAACGCCGACCCAAGCCCTCCTGTCCCTCCTGTCACAATGGCTGTCTTGCCCTCAAGCGAGAATATGTTGCTAAGATATTGCGCTGCCATATTGGGGCGTGTGGGCTAGAGGAAAACTACGGTGTGAGAAGGTTGTCGATGGTTTGCAAACTACACCGATACCATACGAAGCATTCAGGAACATGCAAGAGATCAGGACATTGTATATTCCCCAGTCATCTTACCATTACCGAGGGCTCCTGAGCAGGCCGGGGTACTATTCACCGTGAGGGGAATGGTTTTGGCTCGATCGTCAGTATTGGACAGCTCTGTATGCGGGGATCCTGTCAGAATGTGGCAGCCATGGTGCCATGCTCGCCTCGACAAAGGTAATACCAGCACCAACAACCCCGCGCGGATACCTCCCCCTTATGCTCACCTGCAACTGTCGAAGAACTGGTCAATTGCGTGTTATCCGTATTGCAGAAGAATGCGCGGTGCTTGATCTACCATGGATGAGCCTCACCTGACTTCCCAACAGCGGTTGTCAGTGTGCCTCTATCTCTCTACTCCCATGCCAGGGGCCTTCTCCATACGCCGTCTACCATGCGTGTCTCAATGCCAATTGTGATGCTCGAACATCCTAGGCGCACGAAAATCTCCTCTTGCGAACTCCAGGATTGAGGGACAACCGACTTATTTCTCAAGGGAGCTCTATGTGGCAGAATCCTTGATTTGCTCTGCCTGGACCTTCTTTTCTTCCTCGGCTTGTCGTTTCATCTCCACCTTCTGCCACCGCTTCTGCCGCCAGCCCATACCCCACCTCATCTCGGCGCATAAGAGGCCAGTCCCGCTCGCCATCAGCAGGCCCACGAAGATGAAAGACCAACCCAGCCCCATGCTTGACAGCATGCTATCAACAGTCGCCGCGCCCGCAGCCCCTAAAAGGCAGCGAAGAAGGTTTGATGCTGCCGAGGCCGTAGCGACACTACCTGGGTAGATATCGGAAAGGAGCGTGCTGATCGAGTTCGAGGCAACTACCACAGAGAAACCCAAAATGAATTGCAACACGAGCGGCACCGCGATCGAGGCCCTTCTCTCGAGTGCCCAGCCATAAGGCAGGAGAGCCGCTACCTGCAGTGCTTGGGCAAAGAACACGGCCTGGAGGCGAGCGCGCTCGATGGGGAAGTCGCGAAGATCGTCGCCGCGTTTGCGATCGACCGTACGGCCCAGTTTCCGAGCAATGCGGCTGTAGTTGCGGTCGAGAAGGTGGCCGTTGCAGAAGGCGCCAACCGCGGCAGCTGCGCCCAGCGGTCTCCAAAGTCTTTGTCAGCACCGAGAAGACTCGTGAGGAATGGAGCTCGACTTACAGGAAACACAGGCCCACTTGCAACTCGTTCAGTCCGTACAGCCTCGGAAACACGGCCGGCGTGCTCGTCATCAAAACCAAGTTACTGAACATCATGAGGCCAGAGTATAAGATGAGGCAAAGCGCATCCGGGTTCATCAGAATGAAGAACGACTCCAGCGGATTCGGAAAACGGAGCTTCGTCCCCCTTTCCCTCGCCAGCAGGTCTTGCCGTGTGCGCTCATAATCGTTCCTTTGCTGCGGACTCATCATCTTCAGCCGGCGCCGGGAGTCCAAGTATTGCACTACGGACTGCCTCCACCACTGTTGTGGGACGATACTTCCGTCATCGACGATCTTCCGATGCGTTTCGGGCATGAAGATGATATATACGACCAGATAGCCGCCACTGATGATGGTCAGGAACCAGAAAACAGATCTCCATCCCAGGAACTGCGTCAAGAGGCCGCCGATGACTGGTCCGACAGCCGGCGCCGTCAGCACCCCCGCTGCCATCGGCCCAAGATACTTGCCCCGCTCTCCCGTGGTAGCAATGTCTGCAATGACGGCGTATCCGAAGGAGATGGTGCCACTGGAGCCCGCGCTCTGCAGACACCTCAAGACTAGCAAAGCGGCATAGCTGTCCTGCAGGGCAAGACCGATGTTTGCGGCCGTATAGATGGTGAAGGTGAGGATATATCCCAATCGGCGACCACTGGCGTCGGAGAACGTGCCCATAAAGCTGGGCGCGAGGCCCTGGAAGATCATATACGTTGTGATCGAGACATTGATCAGACTCGGAGACAAATGATACGCGTCTGTCAGGATCGGCAGCACAGGGAAGTATATCTGGCCGGAGAGGGGTGAGAAGAACGACGCCATGGCAGTCATGACCACGATAAACCACTTGGCCCGAGGGGAGAAGGCGGTATAAGCCTTCTGGCTCTGGCTCTGGCTCGGACCATGGTTGCTGGACTCTTCTAGAGCATCTGAGTTCTGAGCTTCAATGTCATTCTGCGTCGATGCTTTGTCTTGCGAAACAGCCGCTTCTTGCGTAGATATGGTGATGGTGTCGCTGGCATTCTTGTGATCGGCACTTATCGCTGTATCGTGCTCGCTGTTCGTTCCGGAGGAGTGTTTGAAATCCATGGTACTGGCCATTATCATCAGGTCGCATACTGAGGCATTCCAAGGCTGGTTGAGAAGGAGTGTCTCTTCAGGATTCGAGCCAGATCGGCGGGCTGGCTAAGGTGCCGATGACTGCCATCTCCAAGATATGTCCTTTTAACAAGGCCTGTGTCCTACATCCCACCGCTTGACCAGGGGAATCATTCGTCTATACTCTCTAGTCGCTCCACATCGGCACCGGCGAGGTGGATATTCGGGGGGCCACATGATGCCGATTTAGGCAACACCGGGCCGGTACCGGGCAGCAGCCGTCCACATTTCTCAGCCGTTGCACACCGTCCTTTGCACAAAATAGGAGACTGATGCAATGAGCCGGTTGATCAAGATCCAGATTGGCGGTCACCGACTGCGATTACAATATGATCCCTAAGTCCCGGTATGTGTATAACGCGAGATTCCGATGATACTCCTGCCCCTCTGTGCTCCACATGAAGCTGGACATGTCACACTTTCATTTGTTGGATGCACCCTCTCAGGACGAAGGAGTCAACATCCAGCACATTAATTTCCAACAGCACAGAGCGGGATCAAGCCCGGCGTTGACGACCACACATATCTTGAATGATTAGCGAGTGGGCAGGTTATTGTGACTCTCCGGTAGGTTCACATATAGAGTGTGCACACTATGGTCAAGATTCCTCCGCTGTGGCTACTTCTGCGCTCAGGGTGTGGGCACAGCCTTTGGTTCATCCTAGTTTAGGTCTTGGATCAACAGCTCAGCCCCAGCCCGGACGTGAAAGCGTGTGCAAGTCACTTTCGGACGCTAGAGAGCGTTGCTTAAGGGCGAAACCAAGCCGCGTCGGGATATCGAAGACTCCTGTCAGTTTGTGGCCCGAATCCTTAGATTGTAGAAAGAGTCACGAAGTTGCATAGTCAAGGGGAGGTCTAACATACGATCTCTACGAGTTAGTCCATGTCGAAGATGAAGTACTGAGCCTCCACTGAAGGTGCCCCTACTCCGACCCAGCCTCGCTTAGCAAATCTCAGCCTTGCGGAAAATGGGGCCAATGACGTAGCAAGTAGTCGTCATCTCTACTCCGTAGTCGTAGAGTAGAGCAATTGCATCTTGTTCATTGTTAAGTCGTGTGCTCTCAATTAGAGCTCACCTCCTGCCCGCATCACGCTCACTCACCGCGAACACCGACACTGCGTGTGCACGCACGTCCCTTGAGATGTCCAATTTCGATCCTAACGCCATCCTCCGAGGGGCTCAACTGACCTTCGTCGGCGCCCACCGCGCGCTCCAAAACCCGGACCTCTTCACCACAGACCACTACCGACAAGCCGCGGTCGCAGTCTGCGCAGGCCTCGCCATCCGGATAATCCTCAACATCCCCATCTACATGGTCAAGGCATTCATCTGGATAATTTCCATCTTCGTCAACCTGGACCATGAGACCTGGGACGACACTTTAATCGGCGGACTGGATTTCATCTCGCGCTCCGTTCTGCAAATCCCCTTCTTTCTCATGATGGTCATGAGCTCCATCACGCCGACACTAGACAATCTGTTCATGGACTCCCTCAAATGGGTCGACACGACGTACGTGCAGAAACACAAGTCAGACGACCCCTCCACCTTGCGCGCCATGTACTACCCCACCCTCCGAATGTACAGCACCCACGGCGAGCGCGAGAAGAAAGAGCAACGCTCCCTCCTCGACGGCGTCGTCCTGTTTCTCACCAAATACGGCCGCAGAGCCGCCATCTCGCTGGCCGTCTACCTCCTCACGTTCATTCCAGGGATCGGACGCTTCGTGCTTCCTGCCGCAAGTTTCTACACGTTCAACAAGGCCGTGGGTCCGGTGCCCGCGGGCATCATCTTCGCGTCGGGCCTGATCATCCCGAAACACTACATGGTCCAGTTCCTGCAGACGTACTTTTCGAGTCGAAGTCTCATGTCGAGGCTGCTGGAGCCGTATTTCCACCGCATCCGCTTCACCAAGCAGCAGAAGCGCGTCTGGTTCATCGATCGCTCCGGCGTGCTTTTCGGCTTCTCCGCGGCCTTTGCCGTCATGGTCAAGATCCCCCTGCTCGGGGTGCTGATATACGGCATCGCCGAGGCGAGCACCGCGTATCTGATCACCAAGATCACGGAGCCGCCGCCGCCGCCGGGCCCTGGAGGCGTTGCGGAGAAGGAATTCATCGAAAGTGAAGTCCGGTGGAAAAACAAGCATCTGTTCCTGAATCTGCCGCTCGACAGACTGGACGAGTTCAACGCGCGGATGGTGGGCGCCGAAAAGGTCACCAAGAGTGACGTCCCGGAGGTGCCGAGACAGAAGTTCACTTGAGAACGAACAAAAATGGGATGGCATGGCATGGCATAAGATGGGAAGGTTGTCTTTTCTTTGACGCGGACGTTCTGGTCTCCTTTCCACATGGCCCAGCTCGCTATGCACCGACCTGGGCGGGCACAGATGTTTCATGGGACAAAGAAGCCCCCTCCCTCCCTACAGGCGGAGGGGAAAGTCACACGGGGATATCATTTTCTTGCGGTGGTGCTAGAACGATGAGGGCTGGAGCAGGGCGCAGGACTGGTGAGAATAACGAGAGTGTGAGCGAGAAATGAAAAAGAGGGAAAGAATGAGAGAATGCGGTCCGATGCAATTCGATGCAAACGCTGTGATTGGCAAAAGACAGCACCATCATGACTCGCTGTTTCTATCCAGTAGATGCTGCCTTTCGAATGCGAGGGTTGATAACACAGCCAAGTTGGAGGTAATGCGCTCCTGAATTGAGACAGTCGACGCTCCTTCGTGCTCGCTTGCTCTCGCTCTCGCTCTCGCTCACTTGAAAACCTTCAAGTCAGCCTCTTTCAACTTGCCAGCACCGACCAGTCCGCCGGTCGTCTCGGCGAAAACCTCCTTGACCTTCGCAGCGTCCTTGCCCGCCACGTTCAACTTGGAGACAAGATCCGCGAGCTCGTCGGGATCGACGGCGCCCAAAACTTTGTCAACATCATTGAGGGTATCGTCAATGGCCTTGGGGCTCGGCTCCCCTTCGGCAAAATAGTTGACGTCCTTGGCCGCTCCTCGCACGACACGCTTGTTCTTCTTGACCGCGTTCTTCGCTGCCTCTTTGGCCTTCTTCGATTGCTCTCTGTCAGTCTTGGCCTTCTCCTCCTCTTCTTTCTTCTTGCGCTCTTCTTCTTCCTTGGCCTTCTGCTTCTCCTCGGCCTCTCGCTTGGCAGCAGCTTCCTTCTCCAGACGCTTCTTGTTCTTATTGGCACTCGCGGCTTTGCGGAACTTCTTGATGCGTTCGTCGTAGCTCAGGCAGTCGTCGACAAGTTTGCGGAGACGAGCAGTATCCTCGGTCTTGCGCTTCCGTCGGGCATTGGCGTTTTTCTTCTCGATGTGGCGCTTGTGGTCTCTCCCTTCGTTGTCATCGGGCACGTCCTCGTCCAGATACTCGAACGTGCGCCAGCTGTCGAAGTTGTACCAGAAATCGTAGAAGGCCTCGACCTCTTCTTGGGTAGAGTTCTCGTCGCCGAGCATGGGCACCGGTGTCGTCTTGCTGAATCTCGCCTCGCTTTGGAAGACGGGGCTCCACTTCTTGTAGAAATTGCCGGGTTTCTGCATGTCTTTCTTGGTGGGCGGTTCCACGTCTGCGGCTTCATCGACGGAGTCCCATTGACGGCGCTTGACTGGGTCTGTGAGGATCTCATTCGCGCGCTGGATGCACTTGAAGAAACTGTCGTTTTCGTCGGACTGGCCGGCCGCGGCTTTCTTGTCGGGGTGATGGCGCAGGACCTTCTTGCGGTGAGCTTTCTTGATTTGCTCATCGGTGGCTTTGTAGCGGTATTTGGAGAGGCCGAGGACCGCGTAGTGGTCTTGTCCCTGTAAGACCGAGCGGTTAGCTAGTGAGGAGGATGTGAGATATCAGTTGCGCCTCACCTTCCAGTCTTTTGCGTCTCGAGCAAGCATCATTGGATCTTCTGGTTCGCTGATCTCACCGTCATCGTCGTCTTCGGATTTCTTGACCTTGGACAGGGCTTCTATATGGTTGTCAGCGCCGAGGATGACGGCGCAGGATATATCGAGACTCACGAATACGGTCGTCTTCGCTGAACGTGCGTCCATGACGCTTGCGACGCGCGTAGGCAAGGAAGGAGGCTCCATAGGGCTCGATCTTGCGCATCACTGGCGGTGACAGTTTGCCCAATGATCGAAAGTTGGGGTTCTCATCGCTGTCGCCCTTCCAGTCCGCAGCTGGAGCGGGGACGAGCTTCGTTTCTGCCATTTCTAGAGATTCGAGTTTCCGAGTCAGGTATCTAAGGGCCGCCGAGTGCGGATCAGGTCCTGATTGTGGTAAGGTCCAAAAGGTTTCGGGGGAATGTGAACATTCAGGTTCAGGATTGGCATCGCCAGAATAATTTTCTGGGAGAGGGTCAGCCATTTTTGATTGGCGGAATGTGTGGTTCGGATACGGAAGAATGTAGTTCCGACGTTGGTGAGAGATCGTTAAAAGAGCGAGATTTTCCGTTCAAATGAAGCGTCATCGCAGATGTCGCTGCACAAGTTGATGCAAACGGCGCCTACCAACAGTCCCAGGCCTATTGAGTTTTGCACACCTCGCTGCGACCCGGGCTGACAAGTCAGTCCAACTCCATTGACAGTCATTGTACAGACTGTTGGTCACGGCACCATCTCCAACCTCAAATCCACTGAACATCCCGAGTTTTTCACGACCAAACCGCGCACCCTTGTTCACCAAGCATCATTTGCCCGTGGAACAATGGCACTATCAGCATATCGACACCTCCTACGAGCCACGCGCATAGCATTTCATGAAGACTACTACTTGCTTCATGCCGCGAGAACTCAGGCACGGACAGGCTTCGACAACTTAAGGTCCTTAGATGCTGATTCGGAGGAAGCTATCAAGGGGATTCAGCATGCGGAAGGCGTGGCTTCAGTATTAAGGCACAATATTGTGCAGGGGAAGAGGGTGGAAGGATCGGATGTGATAAGTATGTGTCGATAAGACCGAGTTCTGAGCACACGACTAAAACAGTACAGAGCTCAACATACACCGTGACACCGAGCGAGGCGACAATGACACAGTCAAGAATCCATTGGCGCCAGGCGGAAAGGTCAAGGTTGGAGGCCTACGACTCCTGAAAGAGAACGGTTTTCGTTCGGCCTTGTGTACAACATCATGATACCCAGTGATGGCTTGCTATGCCGTTTCATATTTTCCCGTAACGCCATGCTGAAGATGTACAACAACATCCACAAACTGGATCAATCAATCCCCGGCCAAGCTGGCATATTTAGCCTCTCCTTGACCCGGCGGAGGTGCAACGACGAAACTGGCAGTGTCTCCGTCTGCACCAGCTCCTTCAATTAGAGCTTGTTGATCTCCGGCGGCGACAGCTCTCTGACCACCCTGTTGCTGCTGCTTGATGGCGGCGGCCTGGTCTCGACCTTCCCTGGCCCATGCCATTCGCTGGTCCCTATCGGTATTGTCCAGTGGCTTCGGTTTACCCCATTTGATCCGCAGCGGACATCCTTGGATGACCGCTTTCCCTTGGCAATGCGCGGCGGCGGCTTCGGCGGCTTCCCTGGTGGCAAACTGTTATATGATTAGCAAACAACTCCTGAATCAAGAGGGCCCGGGGACTGAGTAGCCTGACATGGGCTCTGGGAAGGACTCACGTTGATAAAGGCGCAATGCGCACGATGCGAACAAACGATTGAACGGAGCTGGCCGAAAGGGGTGAAGAAGGTACGGATGGCATGCTCAGGCAAGTCATCTTCGACGCCGGTCACGAACAGTGATGTAATGTTGGGGTCGGCAGGGGGTAGCCAGTCCTCTGGCTGAGGCGGTCGAGCTGTGGTGACAAGTCTGGCTCCGCCCGGGCCTGTCTTGGTCCCTCGCTGCGCAGCAGCTTTTCTGGAGTCTGCAGTTCGAATTGGTCCTGGCCCCGCTCCATAACCACTTTGTCTCTGCTGCTTCGGTTGTTCTTCGGACTGAGTACCTTCTGCTTCCAGGCGTCGCTGTTTCTTGTAATATGGCTCGCTGTTGGCGAGTCTCCGGAGCAGATCTCTTGCCTTCTCGTCTGTCTTCTCATATGCTTCGACCGCGCCTCGACCCTCCTCAATCTCTTTCTCATGTTCCTGCGCATAGAATTGACGGTTCACATCGGATTGCGGTCCTGGAGCCACCATCTTGAGGGCGGCATCTCGAACAGTGATGGGCAAGCCGAACGATAGATCGAGCATACAGGATTGACAGCAGTTCTTGAGTCGCGCGCACGTGAGGCAAATATTTGTTCGCTTCGTCCTTGCCGTCCGGTCGGCTTTCCACCGAAAGACCGTGAATGGGCGTGTGCAGATCTTGCATTCAGCGCCATGTTCCTCCTTCAACATCTGAACATAAGGGTTATCGGGTAGGCAGTTTTCGCAACTGGATGGGAAGTCGGTCGTCTCCCAGCCGGACCGATTCAGATCTTGCTTTATCTGGGGTGGCGCCATGTTGGCACAGTTGCAGGTAGACTGGCGATCAATGTATACGGCAGTGGCTGGCACCGAGCGACACTGAGGTGAGTCCAGATATTTAGGGATAACAGCACCCGGTTGCTAGCGAATGGTGATTTTTAATATGACGCTGCAAAGACAAAACCGGCGGGGCGCAAATGCCAGCCTTGCACGAAGAGGAAGGTTAGCCGAGTCTTCACGTGCCTTCGTGGGAGACGACGAGAGATCTCGGTGGCGTGAAGGATTCCAGATCGCCAGACTCGGGAGTCGCCATTCCCATGGATGTGCCCCTGCCAAGACCGGGCTAGTGCTCGCAGAAACCCGACATTGATTGGTCCGTCCCAAAATTTTGGACTGGACATCCGGGTCGTTCGTTGTTTTCAATGCGCTCTGCCTCCAACACCGCTCATTTACTACTGTAGAATTGCTTCACAAACCGCTTGTCGCTCTCTATATCGACGCTTGAGTCACCAAGTGCCTTCTAGACCAGTTACTTCCCCTTCTCTTGCCTTCGTCTCCAGAACGTTATCGCCGTCTCATCATGGCTCCCGCCGCAATCTCCCCCGTGGTCTCCCTCGAGCAGGAGGACCACGCCCGCGATGCCGCCTTCAACAAGGCTCTCCATGGCAGATCATCTGAAGCCACAGGCGGACTGATGGCGATGCGCCAAAAGGACAGAGCTGCACAGAAAGCCGCCGTCGACGAGTACTTCAAGCACTGGGACAACAAGGCAGCCAAAGAAGAGACAGAGGAGATTCGAAAAGCCAGGAGAGATGAATATGCTACCTTGACAAGACAGTATGATCCGGGCCCCTTGGTATGACGTATACTCGCACTGACTCCCGCTAGTTATTACAACCTGGCCACTGATCTTTACGAATATGGCTGGGGGACGTCCTTCCATTTCTGCCGCTACGCCTATGGCGAGTCTTTCTACAAAGCCATTGCCCGGCACGAACACTACCTAGCGCTAAAGATGGGCATCCAAGAAAACTGGCGTGTGTTGGATGTCGGATGCGGTGTTGGAGGGCCAGCTCGAGAAATTATCAAGTTTACGGGAGCCGACGTTGTGGGATTGAATAACAACGACTACCAGATCGAGCGGTCACTGAAATACGCAAAGAAGGAGGGCATTGCGGACAAGTGGTCCGCCGTCAAGGGCGACTTCATGCAGATGTCTTTCCCCGAAAACAGCTTTGATGCAGTTTATGCCATTGAAGCTACAGTTCACGCGCCCAGCCTGCAGGGAGTTTACGAGCAGATCTACAGGGTGCTCAAACCTGGTGGCGTTTTTGGCGTCTACGAATGGCTCATGACTGACAAGTATGACAATAACAGTAAGTTATCCATTCCCGAAGGTTGTCGCCTTAAGAGCAGATCCTGACGTGTTCGCAGACCCGGAGCACCGAGAGATCCGACTCGGAATCGAGCAAGGCGATGGTATCTCCAACATGGTCACCGTCTCCGAGGGCTTGGCTGCTATTAAAGCCGCCGGCTTCGAGCTAGAGTTCCACGAAGACCTTGCAGACAGACCCGATCCCATCCCATGGTACTGGCCGCTCGCCGGAGACTGGCGATATTTGGCCACCATCATGGATGTTTTCACCATTGCCAGGATGACGTGGTGGGGACGAGGCCTCATTCACAAATTCATTGGCCTGGGTGAGACCTTGAAGGTGATGCCTCAGGGTACACAGAAGACGGCGGACAGCCTGGCGTTGGCTGCTGATTGTCTCGTTGCCGGCGGAAAAGAGAAGCTGTTCACACCTATGTACTTGATGGTCGCACGGAAACCCAAGGTTTGAGCTGGTTGGTATAGTTGCTGATTTTGCGGCGTTCTGGTGGACGTGGAAAGGTATTGTAGACAGAAGTAACCGCTCGAGGCTGTCATTGGCCGTTGTTAGCTAATTCAAAACTGTACATACTCGTAATTTGTACGAAAGGCTTGCTGTTGGCCCGGACAAATCGCATGGGCCCTGAGAGCGTTACGAGTGCAAGGATGGTTGCGTGTCTCGTCCACGAGTAACTCTCGCAGTACGAGTACGAGGCAGTCTGTCGCCTCGCATCGGCATGGAAACTCTTGTCAGCGGGAATAGACCGAGGAACGAAACACGATAGGTCGGAACATTGCACCGCCACTGTTATTCCTCCTGTGGCGACAGTGCTTGCGTGTATCGAGCACGAGGTACTCCCTGTGCTTACCTTAGTTGTCATGCAGGACATGCAGAGATTCAGCTGCTCGCCGCTCGAAGCACAGATAGTAACCATTCTGTGGTCCTACTCGTACTCTAATAGCAAACGGTGCTTGCAATATCTCAACGTCTTGGCTCCGTGTTGCTGTGATTAAGGATTACGCTGTCAGCGAAGGAAGCTGGGTGAAGTCACCACGAGATGAAAAACATCATCCGATTTGGGGTCCAGGGCGGGTGCCAAGCGAACCACGGTTCCTTTCGGTTCGTCGAAGCGGCTGATACGAGCACATAGTAATCTTCTGAGTCGGTGGTGGCTCTGTCCGTTTTGCTGCGGTAGGGGGGCAAAACTGCTGAAACAGACTGTGCAGGAAAGTGTCCAGGCGTCAACCCGCTGCACTACGAAGTTCTCCCACAGCCGCAACAGAACTGTAGAGCTCTCTGCATCAAGAGCATCTTCTCCTCACCACCTCAGAAGCGATTCTCAGGGTCCAGCAAAATAAGAAGTTCCAAGCTCTCAGAAGCTTTGCCAGGTGGAGGAGCTGAAGCCAAGGCTGAAGCAAACGATGATCCGGTGGGTTCGTAAGGAGCCGCCGAGTGGAATCTCAACAACATGATTCGTGCTCGGGCAAAGTTATTCCCCAGTAAATCGCCCGCTCTTCCGGCTTAAAACCTGGTCTATGTCATCGTTGTCGCAAAGACTCGACAAACGTGGGCCCCGACTGGCTGCTGCTGTGGCTGTGACTGCGTGTCGCGTCGTCTTCGCTGGCCAGTCTCCTGGGGCCAGCAGCTCCCCTGTGGTGAGGCGCAATCCATGAGATGCGTGATGGTGATCGGTTTGTATATCTTGGAAGTTTCATACTCCTGGTTGCGTCAGCGTCTTCTATTCCTGCTTTTGTTCTCGTCACCGTCTGTCCTTCCTTTCCTTCATTCTCGTCGCTATTTTTCAAATAGACTCATACCCGAGAATCCCTCGTCTACTGTCCATACTCCGGCGCCGCCGCCGTCGTCGTCATGGGCAAGTTCGCTCTTGCTCTCGGGGCAGCAGCGCTGTTTACCTCGATTGCGCCCGTCATCGCAGCGCCAGAACCAGCCACGATTGGTTTCAAGTTTGAGAAGAAGCGTGTGGCAGCAGCAGATGCTCCCCACAGATTGACTCGGCGGCAGACCATCTCAGTCGGCTTGGACAACGAGATCCTCCTCTACTTCATCAATTGTACAGTCGGCACTCCTCCTCAACCCTTCTCACTCCAAATCGATACGGGCTCGTCGGATATTTGGTTCCCTGCCGTCCAGGCAGACATCTGCCAGCAAGATCCTGACAACTGCCCCTTGGGCACCTACGATGCCTCCGCGTCCTCGACCTACGTCGATCCCGACCTACCCGAGTTCCAGATTCAGTATGTCGACGGCACACAGATCGCAGGCGCATACCTTTCCGATGTCCTGAATGTTGGTGGGACACAATTGACAAACATGACCATGGCTGCCGCATTGCAAGCCAACACTCGAGGCATCGGCATCATGGGCATTGGGTTTGAATCCGGCGAGTCGTCGGCCGTGCTCAATGGCTTCACCTACCCCAACGTCATCAATGTCATGAAGAATGAGGGCAAGATCAACACTTTGGCGTACTCGTTATGGCTGGACGACCTCGACTCGAACACCGGAGTCATCCTGTTCGGCGGCGTCGACACGAACAAGTATCACGGCGATCTGATCTCTCTGCCCATCCAGCTGGACGAACAGACTGGCACGATCAGCTCCTTCACTGTCGCCTGGACTGGTCTGACTGTCCACGGAAGTGGCCAGACCTCTGACTTCTCACCAAGCGACCCCCAGCCTGCCATTCTTGACTCCGGAACCACCGATACTCTCCTACCCGATGACATTGCCAACAGTATCTTCAATGTAGGTCTCTCCAAAAATGCTTGCCCCCCCTTCCCGCCTCTGTCTTGCTTGCTGACACCGAACCAGGGCGTTGGAGTTTTGACCGATCCCCAATTCGGAAACGTTGTCAGGTGCTCGCTCGCCGACGATGACTTGACCTTCACCTTCACATTCGGTGGTGAAGGCGGAGCAGTTGTCAATGTGTCTCTTTCCGAGTTTGTGACTCCTCTGCTCACAACAGACGGCTCCCAACCGACCTTCGACAATGGCGATCCCGCCTGCTCATTCGCCATTGAAGCCGCCGGCGACAATCCCATCCTCTTCGGCGACTCCTTCCTCCGCAGCGCCTACGTCGTCTACGACCTGGAGAACGCCCAAATCGGTCTCGCTCAAACCAATTTCGACTCGAGCAAGGCCGACAGCAAAGTCGAGGTGTTCCAGGTCAGCAGCGGCATTCCTAATGTCGTGTCGACGGCGTCGGCAGCGACTGTGGCACAGAGTTTTACCGGTATCCCGCGTATCACACAGTCGACCGCCACGGCGACCGGCGAACTCGGTGGAGGTACTAGCCGGAGCGCGACCTTCAACTTGACCCCTGCGACGGCGACCAGCACCTCGGGATCCGGCAGTGGAAGTGGAAGTGACTCGGGTGACTCGAATGCCGCCAAAGCCAATTTCCGTGCTGCCTCTATGGAGACGACCAGCATTCTGGCTGCTGGTGTCGTGGTCCTTGGCTTCGTCTTTGGTGGCGGCTTGATGTTGTTCTAGAATGAAACGGCCACAATGCAGGCTGTGTACATTTAAAAGGCCAGAACATGTTCGGAACCGGTTGTTGCATACGAGGGACTCGGACATATAACCTGGACATAGCTTCCCATGAAGGTTGGATCGAATTGGATTGGTATGCTTGATGCTTCTTGACGCATGAGTGAGGCGTGCATATACGATACGAAGGACTCCGACATATAACCTAGTCGTAGCTCCCCCCCCCGAAGGTTGGATCGAATTAAATTCGGATGCTTGGTGCATCTTGACGCATAGGTGAGGCGTGCATACCTATGTATATGACGAAGTGGCCATGCATGCGATACGTATCGAATATGTAGGATTGCAGACTACGACGCGCTCCGAATGCCAAAAAAAAAAAAGCGAGAAGAGGTATGGTAGATGTGACGTATAGGGAAAGGACAACCAGGGGTATTAACAGGGTCCATACGGTGTAATTTGGAGTCCTACCTACATACCTAGGTATTCGTGCAGTCTGTCTACGTTTACCTAATGTACCTGCGGTTTTACGAGGTATGTGTGTGTATCCCACCTGGTCACGCTCACGTGGGACGCACTGTGCCGGTGTGGGTGCACTGCGTGGGTGTGGGTGGGTACTTTTGCTTCTTCGTTGATTCGGGAAGACTGTGGTACATAGGTAGGTAGCTAGAACCAACGGTCTACCTCTGTCTCCTTTTTTTAAGCTGCGTGTCATTCTCATTTAGACACTCTCTCTTCTCATGCTATCAACACACCCCCCCGTCGTCGTCCTCATAGCACTCATCTTTCCTCGTGGACCGTGTCGAGCGGACTGTGAGGAAACGCCGATCCATCGCCGTTGACGCTGTTCGAACTATCCACCGCGGTCAACCAGGGCATTCTCCTTCGGTCGCCCTCTCCGCCGGACTCGTCTCCATCGACTTCCACCCCGATCTCGTTCCCGTCGGGGACCCTGACGTCCAAGAGCCTTTCGGCGTTCTTGTACGCTATGGCTTCGAAGTCTTGGTCGTTGATCATCCCGCTTCCGTGCAGCGCGTGCATGAACTTCACGCCGTCTTCGTGCGCGCAGAAGGGGTAGTCCACAGAGTACAGGACCTTGTCGGCGCAGCACATGTGGATCAGACACGCCATGGGCGCGAGGGAGAACATCCCGGCAGTGGTGATGTAGATGTTCTCATGCCAGACTTGCAGGAGATGACGCCGTGGTTTGGACTCGGGAGGCCACGTCTTCTGGACGAGCTTGTGGATTCGGTCGATGAGAAAGGGCAACGTTTCGCCCATGTGCCCGAGCAGGAGTTTCAGGTGTCGGTGCCTGTCGAAGAGTTTGCTCGCGAAGAGGCGCATGACGTGCAGGGCGACTTCGCTGTGCCAGTGGAAGCCGTGGTTGGCGAGGAAGTTGGACACGTTGGCCGAGTAGTTCCCGTGGAACTCGGGCGACGGGGTGCTTTCGGTGATGGGTTGAGGGATGGCGTGGAGGTAGACGGGGACGTCGAGCTTCTCGTGCGCGGCAAAGATGGGCCAGAAGAATTGGTCGTCATAAAACCGCCCGTTCGCGGTGTTGTCAATTAGGCTGCCGACGAATTTGAGTTCGGAGACACATCTGTCGAGTTCTTTTACTGCTTCTTCGGGATGGAGCATGGGTAGCATTGCGAAGGCGGCGAAGCGGTCCGGTGAAGGCGAGGAGTTGATCGCTTGATATAGTTCATTGTTTGCCGCTGTGCAGACGTCTGGCGGCACAGGGATCGTGTTGGGTCGATGTGAGATGACTTGTAGACTCACACGACCGTTATCCATCGCCTGGAGACGTTTGGGGCCGACTTCGCGGAGGGAGGTCATGATATGGGACATTGTATCCGGTAAGCTCGTCTCAATGCCTCGAGACTGGTAATAGTCTACCACAGCCTGTGAAATGAAATGCTCCTCGAGCGTAATCAGAGGTACTTTGGACGCCATTGCCGATGCGATCAATCGCTGGCAGAATGATCAGAAATGCTGTTCTGAAAATCGGCTGATGTCCAAGTCGTCGTCAGCGTGTTGAAGTTGAACGTATGATGGCAAATTGTCATCGGAAGGTTTAGGAGTCGATTCCGACCGGCTAGAAATTCCGGGCTCAGGTCGACGGCAAGTGCGACGAGGGAGCCGCTCGACATGACAAGCGAAAAAGCAAGGAAGAAGCCATGGCAGCGTGAGGACAGTGATAGATGAACGGCCTCGCCATCCACGCTTGACCCCGCAGCAGAGATAGGACGTAAGCCCGCGCTCTGGAAGGCTAGAAACCCCATTCGGGAAAGTTGAGCAATGAAGATGGGGTTCGTATTGCGGTAACTGGGACAGGGCTCGCGGTTAGTCCAATGGGAAGAGAGGGATGGCGTGACGCCAGGGCAGAGTCAAGAAGGGGTAAGGCCGGCGACAAGACGCTGAGGATTGGTCTTGTCGGGCTATTCGCGGGCTGCGGAGGAGGTGGCGAGGACTGAACCGAGGACTGCCGCCTACGGCGTAACGCGCATGTTTAGACCCAGGCATGTGGTTCATAAGGCCTCAAAGCAATGGAGATGGATGGCGGAACCAGAGACTTGCCAAGACCCGAGCAACGGTGGTCTGAAGGAGGCGCAGAGAAGAGACAAATGCAATGGTAGAGAGCCCATGCTACATTGAGAGGTACTTTCTTGAGGCAGGGGGCCAGAGGTCAATCTGGGCACGAGACGTTCATCCCACAAGGCTAGACTGTCTTGCAAGGCATCCACAGACAAGCTGTAAGTGATCGCGAGGCTGATTCCAGGGCTGAAGAGGAAGATGGTCGTTGAAGTTGAGATAAACCGTTGTTTTAGTGACATTTTGACGTGCGTTGTGAGTGGAGGAAGCGTGATTGAGCTTGGCGCGTTCACTGCACTGCGAGCTGAGCGGCCGGAGGATGAAGGACGGACAGGACCCTTGCTGTCCAGGGCTGAGACGCTGGGTGGACGCTGCTGTCCAGACCACATTGTTATTTTCTGAGGTTGTGAATATCTTAATTTCCTGTCGCTTCTTCATTTGACGGCCGTTACAAACACTCCCTGCGCCGTATCTGCGCCCCAGACCCCCAACAGCCCCCAAGCGAGTGAATTGCGCGGGGCGCGGCCCTGTTTCGACGTAACAATTCCAGGCACGAGATCATCCGCGGTCACTCCTGTGAAGGCTCCTCCTCTCCAACACCCGCATTTGCTACCTTCGATCCGTGCGGCGACTACAACTCATTGATGGCCTCCCAAGGAGGCCTCACGCGGCGTCGCGGTGCGGGAGGCGGGGCGGTCACTTCACCAGCCGGGGACGACGAGCCCACGAGTAGCCGTGTCACGTCTCCTGTTCCGAGGCAATACCCCGATCGCTCCCCCGAAACTGCCTACGAGTCGAGCGAAAATGGGCACAAGATTGCATATGACCCGAGAGACATCAGCGAGAGCGCCGAGCGGAGTAAACAGCCCAAGCTCACGCTGATGGAAGAGGTCTTACTGCTGGGACTGAAAGACAAGCAGGTAACAAGAGAAGCCTATGCTTCGGCGCGGTCAATGCTGATGGTGGTCACTTAGGGCTATCTGTCATTCTGGAACGACAACATCTCATATGCTCTCCGAGGATGCATAGTCATCGAGCTGGCATTCCGAGGCCGGGTCAGCATGCAAAATGACTCGTCCAGACGGCGGTTCCCCCTTTCGGACCGAATAATTGAGGTCATCGATGACACCCTCACCGGAGAAGTCTTGTTGGATGAGGCTCTGAAGATGATGAAGTCGAGTGAGAAGATGAGTGTCAGCTCGTGGATTGATCTCATGAGCGGTGAGTCTGTACGTGCGCCGTAAATCGGCCCCCGGCTAAGATTGTGTCCAGGCGAGACGTGGAATCTCATGAAGATCGGCTACCAGTTAAAACAAGTTCGCGAACGCCTTGCCAAGGGGCTTGTCGACAAAGGCATCCTGCGTACCGAGAAACGAAACTTCCTCCTTTTCGATATGGCCACTCACCCCGTGGTCGACTCTGCCGCCAAAGACGAGATCCGCAAACGCGTGCGCAACGTGTGCTCCAACCGAACTGTCGTCCTACCTCCATCGCAATTTTTGCCTGCTGAACTCGACTTCAGGATGCTGAGAACCGTCAGCATGGTTTGTGCTGCATATGCCGCTAATGTCCTTGAAAATGCCCTGGTGACCATGAGCCACGAGGCACGAGAAAGAGCCTTTGCGCAGGTCGATGAGCTATTGGCGGAATACTCGCAGTGGCCTTTTGCTAAAAGAGCAGGAGGACAACAAGGTATAGGGGCAAATATTGGGCAAGTGATCGCAGACGAAGTTGGGAAAAATCCCGACAAGGAATTACAACTCGAGGTGAGTTATCTGGCCCTATCTCGTGAGATTCCAGGAGGCCCGTCTTCGATCCCACTGACATATTTCAGGTTGTTGCTGCATGTTTGAGCGTCTTCACTCGACTCGACTCTTTGTTATAGGCTTGGCCACGAGGGGAGCTTCTCGGACGGTATCCGGTCTGCCAGACGGCTTCGATTGTATCTACCATTTCGGAATGCACGAATGCTCTAAAAGTGGACTCTTATGCTCGGGACTTCTGATCCAGGTATGAATGGCTTTTGAGCGGGAATCTAACCGGTGACTTTGGCCACGCGGGCGTAATGGTTGGGACTTAGCAGATGTTGCTCAGAGTACCACAGTTGGCCTCCATGAAGGACATTGCACAATTTAATGTGATGTCAGCCTCCGTTTGCATCGGATCATTGCTCCATGAATGGACTGAAGAGAGAACCACCCTTCAATCTATTATGTCATTGCGCCGAGGTCTTTGCCAAAGTCTTGACAGCGATCAGTCCTTTCAGTAAAAGCCACAGTTCTTCACCGGACGACGGCAACAAACCTGGTACACTGTTTCATACCCAATGATCGAATAACTCTTTCGGTCCATTTGAAAACAGTCTCATCTTGCGTGGCTCTATGTAGTAGGTTCTTCAAGCAACAGTTTGA